TATTTCGGTGACATTGAGACTGCTGTTGGCAACACAAGTGAACTTTGCTTGAGCAGAGACTGGTAGGATTGCAGGCCCTTGGATTATTGCACCTGAGAAGATAAAGCATTTACACTGACAATGGAACAAAGTTTTGACTGGTTTACCTTGCCCAAATGCAATGGCGATGATGAGTGATGTCACAAATAGAGTCGCGAGAGGTTTGTCCATTCTCTTGTTAGAGCTTTAAACTGAGAGAAAGACAAATGCACTCATCAAAGTCTCGCAGATACTGTTACAAGTCTCTTGTGGGAATCACTGCAGGAGATCTCGAATTATAAACACACACTCGACAAATCGGCAGGAGCGGAAGTTACTTTGCAATTAGCGACATCACGCGTCCTGTTTCGACATAGATGAATCATAGATATTATAGACTACGTAACGAAGTCTATAATATCTATGGATGAATTTCGATTTTGACACCGCTGCACCACCCACGCAATAAATTTTTCTTTTTAGTTTAAAAAAAGTTTATACGGTAACCTCAAACTACTTGGAGGTGTGTCTGCACAGCACCGCCTTCTCACTGCCCTTTTTTGTTAGTTCTTTGTATTTCTGTTTCTCTTTTCTGGTAAAACCATAGATCAAACATGGCCGAAGGTCGTAAGGGAAGTGATTCTAGCATGCCTGATGATTACATACCTCCAAACACACCGCCCCAATGTACCTGGAAGGCAGGGGCCAAGCAGGAAACCCCTCACCGTTGTATCCCTGTGTAAATATGACCCGATTTGTGTCTTGTGTCCTTACTCTGAGTTTTAGGTATCAGCCTGATCGTAAATCCACCTCTATCCTTCCTACTGCAGTGGAGGCAGTTGGAGATACTCCGATGATAAGATTGGACAAGATTGCTAAAAGCGAAGGCCTTGAATGCGAACTTTGTAAGTTTATTATAACTTTTTGGACTCTTAATTAAATTTTAATGATTCCGTTATGTGATCTCACTAGCCAAGTCTCTCGTAGCCAAGCCACACCCTCCAAGACAAAGGGTGTGGTCTGGCCACCCAAAACCATTGCTATAAAGAAACACCACTTAACCTGTCATTATACACATCCATTTATTGATGTACTACATTGATTATTACTAAAAAAATTAATATGGAATTATTTCTTTTTTTGTCAGTGGCTAAATGTGAGTATTTTAATCCTGGTGGGTCGGTCAAGGATAGAATTGGCGTGAGGATGATTGAAGAGGCAGAGAAAGATGGACTCCTTAAACCAGGTGACACCATCATTGAGCCTACTTCTGGTAACACAGGTACAGTCCAGATACATGTATATACGTACATATATGTATGCATCCTTTTGTGTCTCATGAATTAGGTATTGGGTTAGCTCTGACAGCTGCTGTCAAAGGGTATCGGTGTATTGTTGTAATGCCAGAGAAGATGAGCAACGAGAAAGTATGCACACGTACTTCATTAGTTACTTTTAAAATTCCTTACAATACAATTATATTGGCTTAAATTTTTATACATAACATAAGGATATAAAAAATTTCTATTGCAACATAGTTATTATTTCTATTAGTCTATTACAATAGATTTCTTTTGTTTTATTGTTACTTCATGTCTGTCTGCTCAATAGGTTTATGTACTGAAAGCACTTGGAGCCGAAATAGTCCGCACTCCAACAACAGCTGCTTACAATTCTGCTGGTATTTTGAATACAATTTACACGTAAAACTCAACATTTATAGAATCACACATTGGCGTTGCCTGGAGATTAAAGAAAGAGATACCCAATTCACATATACTGGACCAGGTACGTTGTACTGTATGTCTGCAACTCTGCATGTGCGGGCATTTTTTTATTCATATGCTAATTGTTCTAATTAATTTAGTATCGCCACCGTGGTAATCCTTTGGCTCATTATGACTGCACAGCTGAAGAGATTATAAGGCAGTGTAATGGTGAGTGATGCATTGTTCCTTTCTCTCTTTATTCTCTTCTACCAGGTCAGTTGGATATGGTTATCATTGGTGCCGGTACTGGAGGCACTGTTACAGGTATTGGTAGGAAAATGAAGGAAAAGATGCCAAACGTTGAAGTAATTATCAAGCGAACATATTTTTTATAAATTAGTTACATTTGTAGGTCATTGGTGTCGATCCTATTGGTTCTATTTTGGCCGAACCTGAGGAACTCAATGACACAACTGCCTCAACGTATCAGGTATAATGAGCTCGAAATCTGGTCTGAGAATCAGCTTTAAAATGCTTCCTTCTCTCCTTTAGGTTGAAGGCATAGGGTATGACTTTATACCGACAGTTCTTGACAGATCAGTAGTTGACAAATGGTGTAAAACTGGTGATGAAGAGAGCTTCAAATATGCCAGACAGCTCATAAGGGAAGAAGGACTTCTTTGTGGTGAGTATAGGTGTTGTAATGTGGGTTACACTGTTACTCTTTTTCTGGCAGGTGGATCCAGTGGTACTGCTGTTGCAGCTGCTGTTAAGGTGGCTAAGAAACTTAAGAAGGGACAGCGCTGTGTTGTTATACTGCCAGACTCCATTAGGAATTATATGTGAGTTATGGATTTACATAGCTGGATTCATGTTTGATAGAGTTGTCAATTCAGACCTGGTTGTAATTCTAATTAAAATTATAATTGCATACCTAGTTTGAGCTAAATTTTAAAAGTTATTATTTTAAAAATTGGGCCAAAGTAATTGAGTCTATTTTTACAAAAGGAGTGTAATGTGTAATTGAGGTTTTGTCTTGTATTAGCTGTCATAATGTATCTGTCTATAATGTACGTGTACGTGTTATTGCAGGACTAAGTTTGTTAGTGATGACTGGATGGTTGATCATGGATTTATGGAGTCAGCAGTAGCAGAGGAAGACAAATGGTGAGAGAAGAAAACAAATGCATATCAATCTATTCTTTAATTACAACAATTTGATAGGTGGTGGAACAAACCAGTCAGTGTACTAGAGCTATTGACACCAGTAACAGTTCAGAGTGATGTTACCTGTAGTGATGCCATTAAGACACTTGGAGCTGGACAATTGGATCAAGTACCAGTTGTTAACAAAGATGGGTATGCTGCATTTATATTTATTTGATCAACAATATTGATTGTTTCTTAATTAATTTTAGTGATGTAATTGGAGTGATCACACTCACTAACTTGAGTTCTAAGATGCTGAAAGGTTCTGTTAAAAAGAATGACAGCGTCATGAAAGCTCTCTACAAGCAATTTGAAATGGTGGGTCAAGATATCACAGCATTCATTATGCATTCTTACTCTCTGCCTCTTTTAGATGGATGTCATGACAACTACATTGGGCAATTTATCAAGGATCCTTAACCGTGATCATTTTGCTATTTTAACGCGTACAGAACACCGCAGTGAGTAACCACACACATTCTAATTATGGTTGCTTGTATTAATTAATACTTCTATTCTCTCATTGCAGCTACTAGTGAAGGTGGAGTACAGAAGAAGCTACACATTCATGGGATAGTCACTCGTATTGACATACTCACATATGTCACACAGAATGAACCTCAATGAGTTTGCTGACATAAACTGGGGGAGGGAGCACTGGTTATTATAGTCTTCATTTAAATACAGTCATTAAATTTATCATTCAAAAAATAATAGTAATAAATGCAAAGAACTACATACTACATCGTTAGAGATCCCACATACACACTCTCAAACTAGGTTTAGTATTTGTAGATTTGGTGCAAGTAGAAGTCACACACGTACAGGCTGCCATCTTCATCAAAAGAGATCCCTCGTGGCCAATTCATTTTTCCTTCGCTGCTTTCCTTCCCAAAGCATTTAAAGAACTTTCCTTCGGTTGTAAAGACAGACACACGGGAATTTTTATGCTCCGTAATATAAACGTAACCATTTCTGATTACGATCCTCTCTGGAAGGTGAAATTGGCCTGGATTAGACCCCTCTGAGCCAAAACACAATATACACTTGCCATCTGGTGAAAACTTTTGTATTCTGTGATTGAATGTATCAGTCACAAATACATTACCTTGAGAATCAAGGGCAATACCATTGGGTTGGTTAAACTGACCCATTGCTTGGCCTCGTGATCCAAAGTGATGAGAATACGAGTAGTCCCGATTGAGGACCTGAATCCGATGATTATTAAGATCAGCAACATATACTTTACCAGTCTTTTCATCAATGGTAATGCCAAACGGATTATCAAACTGTTCTCTACCATTACCTCTGCAGCCAATTGCTTTCAATAGCTTCCCATCCATTGATACCTTTAGTATGCTGTATTTATCTGTCATCAGTAGGCAGCCATCAGGAGTGACAGCTGCATCTCTTGTGAATGAGAAACGATGATGACCATTGGTTGTTTGCTTGTACACCTTGGGATTATTGCCATTCTTATCCAGCATTATCAATTCATTGTAATCCGTCAATACAATGATCTTATCTTTTGACACAGTGAGACCTATTGGCTTTGACATACGATCATTCTTAATGTATGCAGTTGGAGCAATCCTTTTGATAAAAACAGGATTGAAAGGAACAACAATGGGTTTTTCCTTAGCTAAGATCTCATTGATTTTTAGGCACAACTTATGCACCCCATTTCTGTTGGGACGGAACCTGATGACATAATGATTTGGGATGTCACCTAACGAAACCTCACCTTTAATACTCTCAGTAACTCGGACAATATTAGGAGGTTGAATGAAGCATACGATTGATGAGCAAGGAGCAATAGCGTAGGCAGGTCTGGTAGCATACTTGATTGAGACGGTGACAGATACTTGAGGGCTCTCTTTGTCAAAGCACGAAACACTGATCACTTGCACGTTGCATTGATCATTAAAGGTTGCTGATAAATCCCCAAGGTGCCTTGCAGCTTCCATGCACTTTGGATCTTCGACGAAAGTCAAATCAGCAACTTCAGTGGGATTCATTTTGGTTTTATCCACGCTGCTTTTGACCTCCTCCATTTTGGATATCAGCTTCTTTGCCATGTTGAGTACTCCTTGCTGGCTGCTTGAATTGAGACACTTGCTGACCTGTTCTTGCAGGTTTCTCATTTCGGACTGCGTGCCTTCAAGAAACTGTCGCCTCTCTTCAAGAGGATCAAGTTTCCTTTGGACAATTTCGTCTACTTTTGCAATCAAATCTTCCTCTGACGACTGTATCATTCTGATCAGCTCAATAGCTTTAGTATGGATTTCAGCTTTGACTGTGGCCTGTTGCTCCAATACAATCCTTTCCCTCTCTTTTAAGGCTTCTACTTTACTTTGAATGAATCCCTCCTCCTCCTTCACTTGTTCTGAATGACTTTGCAAAACAGATTTTTGTTTAGGAACGGCCTCAGGTACAGATTTACAAACATGGCCTTGATGTGATCTCTGTACGCAGTCTGTGCAGATCAAGTCCAGGCATTTCTCACAAAAAAAGTCCAGCGGCTTTTTGTGCATGGGACAAGAAAGATCCAAGTCTTCTTGTTCTTGCCCATCCAATCGAAGGTCCAGGAGATTGTTGATGGTAAAAGCTGGCGGGAAACTCCTATTCGTTATTCCATCTAAAGAAGCCATCTCTCTACAAGAAGGACATTTTAAGCTATTTTCCTGCACTGTAAGGCCATCAATACATGTCTTACAGAAGGCGTGATGGCAGGGTAGAATCCTGGGGTCTTTATACTTGTCCAAGCATACGGAGCATTCTAGCATCTCTGTCAGAGTGGATGCAATAGACGTAGAGGGCGACCTGAGAAGTTCGTTGGAGGCCATTGTTGTGACAGTATTTTCAAGAAAAATGTCACTGTCACTTGAATTAGAATATGCATGTGCTTCCTGAAAAGGCTGGGCAATGAATTAACTATTAAAATTTTTATCAATAATAACAGCAAATTAAATTACACAAGACTAATCAGTAATAATAAAGATCATTAAAGTCTCATTAATAGACCATAGATAGACTAATCAAAAGTTTAAACAAAAGAAAAGGTAAATGCACAGTTGCAAGCGTATTCTTAGTACTTGAAGATGCAGTGTGATCTAAAATCACACACATAGAGACTGCCATCTTCGTCAAAAGTGAGTCCACGGGGCCAAACCAGTCCTCCCTCAATGCTTTGCTTCCCGAAACATCGAACGAAATTACCTTCAGTCGTGAAGACAGAGACGCGGGCATTAAGATGCTCAGTGACATAAATGTAATCATTGTTGATGACTATCTTCTCTGGGAGCTTCAATTGGCCTGGATTAGGTCCCTCTGACCCAAAATAGGATATGTATTCTCCAGATTGTGAGAACTTTTGTATTCTGTGATTGAATGTATCACTCACAAATACATTACCTTGAGAATCAAGGGCAGTGCCATTAGGCTGCTCAAACTGGCCCAGTGCTTTTCCTCTTGAGCCAAAGGAATGAGAAAATGAGTAGTCCCGATTGAGGACTTGAATCCGATGATTCAAAAGATCGGCAACGTAGACTTTACCAGTCTTTTCGTCAATGGTAATACCAAAAGGGGTGTTAAACTGTAACCTACCATTTCCCTTGCTGCCTATTGTTTTCAGTAGCTGCCCATCCATTGTTACCTTCAGTATGCTATACTGATCTGTCATTAGGAAGCAACCATCAGAGGTAACAGCTGCATGTCTGGTGGACGTGAAACGAGACCCATTATTCGGCCGACTGAGTGTCCTAATATTCCTCCCATGCATATCCAGTATCACTACTTCGTTGAAATCATTCAAAACAATGATACGCTTGTCTTGAGCCACAGCAAGACCAATTGGCTTACGTATGTACTTCATCACGGTAGTGGGTGTGATGTTAGGAAGATACATAGGATTAAAGGGAATGAGAACCGCTTGATCCTCCGTCTCAATGTCGTCAATCTTCAGAGATAACTTATACAGGCCATTACTTGTAGGACGAAACTTGACGACGTACTGGTGGGCGGCGTCTCCCAAAGAGATAATTGCCTTGATAAAAGATCTATTGGAAGATTTAATGATGCATTTCATTGAAGATAGAGGAATGATGACAAAGGGAAGATTAGTATACTTCACTGATAGGACTAATGTAACGTCTGGACTCTTGTCAATGAAAAGGTGCTGTTCAAGGATCTGGACGTCACAGCTTGGGTCCTTACCCTCGAAAGTTGACGAAAGGTTTCCAAGACGAGTGAGACTATCTGATACTTCATCAGGGACAAAGCTCAGATCAGCAACTTCGCTTGGTTTGAGTTTAGTGGCATCAATGTTAAACATGACGTGATTTATTTTCGGTATCCATTGCTTTGTCTTGAGAAGGTCTTCTTGATTCCCGGTCTTCAGGCACAACTCGATTCTATCTTTGAGATTTTTTAACTCTTCCTGAGTCACTTCAATCGATTCCCGTCTCTCGTCTAAAGAATGAAGTTTGCTCTTGATGACTTTGTCAACTTTCACTGATAGCTCTTCTTCTGATTCAATTATGAGGGCAATGAGATATTCTGCCCTAGAGTGTATCTGAGCTTTAACAGTGTCACCTTGCTCATTTATCTCACTCTCTCGGTGCGAAAACGGCTTCAGTTGAGTCGATATGAAATCAATCTCTTTATTAATCGGATTCAGCCTGTCCTCCAGGAGCTCACGGTATCTAACCAGTGCTTCTGCTAGCGGAATACATGAGGACTCATGCTCTGTATGTGGGAATCTCTTGACACACCTTGAGCATATTGTCTCCTCGCAGTTCTCACAAAACATATCGGCGATTTGCCTATGGATGACACAAGTATTGGTGTTTACATTCCAGTCATCCGATTGCATGAGTGGTGCTGGATCAAGTGGCATTGGAGCTTGGTGATGGCCATTGGTCTTGTCAGTGCCCGATGCACCGTTGAGCGCTGTAGCTTCCTTAGTACAGGTGGGGAGGTGCAAATCCGTGCAACCATCACAAAAAGTGCTTCTGCATTCCGTACAGAATCCAGATACATTCTCCGAGGTACAGCTACCACAGGTCTGCTTCCTTGGTACAGCCACAGGCACAGCTCTGTCTCTATTGGCTTCGACGAAAGCCTTGAGATTATTGGTCTGGAAAGAAACACGGAACCCAGCTACGCCATTAGGAGGCAGCGGAACTAAGTGTCTACATGTTGGGCAGCCAAGGTTGTTTACGCCATCCTGGTTCACGAGTGGAAGATGCTCTAGACAGGACCTACAAAAAACATGATGGCAGTCAAGGGCACGTGGATCTTCATAGACCCCGAGACAAACGGCACATGTGAGAGCATTTTCTTCTAATTCCTCAAACAGGTCTCGTTCTGGAGCCTCCTCTAAAGTCATCATCTTTGCCTTTGAGAACTAAGAAGACAATTCCCTTACAGAGACAGAAATATGAACAATAGCGCTAGGTCGGGGGTGCAGGCCAAGGGGAATCCCGTGTTTTATAAGGGTTCGCTGTTATCGATGAAAAGGAAGTAAGTACGGGTACATCTAAATTATTACTATTGCTGTGTCATACTATCGTATAATTACTTTCATTATTAAAAACATTGCTTATTATCATTATCATTATTACTAGGATTGAAATGATGAGCTCAAATGGTAGCGAACAGATTTAAATTCTTTGTTTGCTTCTTGTGTTGACCTTGAAACTGCCTCTATCTCCCCGCCAAGCTCTTGCAAACAAGTATAGAAATCTTGTATCTTTGAATGCGAGCCTTCGAGTTTCATGTCTTTGAGATTATTCAACAGCTTGGACTGTGTTGATCTAAAGCAAATGGTGTCATACAAGCTGTTATACTGATACCTGTACTGACCTGAGTGACTGACAGTGTTTTAGGACAGAGACAAGCGTCTCTTTGAGAACCTTGGTACTCTCGAGCGACTGGATACGACACTTTTGCAGTTCTTGGCAATATCTATCGAAAGAGGTTTAAAATGGCTGTTCCAATAGGAGCTTTATATAAACCTTTCGGCCATTTTTCTAAGATCATGCTCCTTTGCTAGTCTCTGCTCACAGCTGTCCATGTTTTGAATCAACTATAAAAAATAAATAATTATTTAGTATTATGACTTGAACTTACACAATAGCATAACAAAAAGAAAACAAGTATCATTATTAGCATAACACTTTATAATGGTCAATCCTGTATGTAGGTGTTTTGAGTAAACACAGGTATACATTTATCTCTTGAGTAAACAATACAGCCACAACAAAAACAACAAGCACCACTTGTTTACTCAGGTGTAAAAAATAATACAGTTTTAGGGCTGAGGATATTATTCCCAATAATGTCCCCATTATTCTATTCCCTTATTCCCAATTATATATTTGCCTATTGTTTTTATCATTATTCCAAAGTATTTTTAAAATAAACAAAATAACTATACAAATTTGTCTCATTCAATCAACAAATGTACACAATCACAACATTAAAGTTACATGTATATAGACATATGTTACACACCTGTTGGTTAGTGGACTTGAGTTGCATGACTTGAATCTGCAGGTCCTTTTCTGCACTCCTTTGAGGAGTAGGAGTGATGTCATGAGAGCGTCCCATGCTGCTTCCAGCACTCTCGTTCACTTTGAGTTGCTCTTTCATTTCTTTGATGGCCATTTGTAGCTTACGTCTTGGACCCATTTTACTAAAAAATGAAATGATTTTTTTAAAGTTGCACTTAAAATTTCGCTTTAATACCTGTTCCAAAAATTTTGGGCTGATTACTGATTTTTTACAAATTTTTAAAGTTGCTCAAAAATCGGGCCAAAGTCCCTGTACTATATAATACAGGGTCGTTGGCTAAATTTCACCAAAAATGACTAGAAGAAAATTCTCCATTTTAATAATTTTTCCTGATACATATACATGTCCTCATGTTGTGTAGCAAGTTTGAGCTGATTCCAATCAAAATTGGATTTTTTACGAATTTTTAAAAATGCTCTAAAATCGGGCCAAAGTCCCTGTACTATAGTACAGGGTCATTGGCCAAATTTCACCAAAAATGACTAAAAGAGAATTCTTCATTTTTATAATTTTTTCTGATACATATACATATTTTTATGTTGTGCAGCAAGTTTGAGCTCATTCTGATCAAAATTAGATTTTTAATGAATTTTTAAACTTCCACCACACAGTACTCTACCTTTGATGTCAATAATACATTTAACTCACGTGACTAGTCTCTTTAAGTCTTCCTCGCTCAGTTCAAGGAGTCCATAGAAGTCAATCTCATTGCACTCAAATACTTGATAGTATCTCTCAAGACCGAGAATCTCCAGAAACTCATCAAGCTTGGCCATGTTGTCCTCGTGAGATTGTGTACTCTCCTCAAGACACTCCTCATCCAATGATGGGGGAGACTGGGATTCAGGCATTGAATACTATAAGAAGGAGATATGATACAATGATCAACTGTGAGAAATTACAAGCGTTTTAATGCATGATTGGGAACCAATATGTACAACAACAACACACATTATTTACCAAAACTCCCCCTCCAATACATTACACTTACACACACGCACACTATAACTGACTGATGGTCTGAATTTGAGTCGCCTTGAAGTGGTAGCCAGGCTAGCCCTGTGTGGCATAGTAGGTAGGCTCCAGCGGAGACCCGAGCGATTCCCTAGCCTTTGATTAATATCCTTACGTGTTTCAGGATCAACCTCTTCAAGACCTGCATAAGGATCCTCGTCTGTTGAAGAAACACTCCGCAGATCAGCTATCAAAAGAACATTTAAAAAAATTTTTTTTAATTTTTTAAATTTTAAATTAAATTTTTGATACTATCAACAGCCTTATGCAAGAAGGCATAAAAATTTACTCTTGCCTGTTATACTATAAATCATTATTTTCTGATTGTCTATGCATGTAATTCTCTTTCTTTAGTACTTACATTCATTTGAGGCCACAGAGTTGCTTCTTGGGTAAAACAGCATTTGTATCTCATCGAGAAAGCTAACAGTTTTTATATGATTGTGTCTCAGTGCCAGTGATCGTGCAGTATAACCATCATATGCCTTAGCATTGATATCAGCTCTCTGAAATATAAAAAACATACAATGTGTCATTACATACAATGTGTAAATTTTTTTAAAAAGTTGAGCATTACTGGGAACTTGCTACATTTATCACTACTTTCATCACTACTTGGCACAAGTTGTATTGATTCTTATTTCCCATGGCAACTAGTCCTATGATATCAATGTCAAAAGTGAAGCACTGCATCTGCTATACTACAGAGAAGTGCTACAAAGGCTGTGAGCTTATAATTAGACCAGTGAGTAAGACTGATAGAGGTTTGAGAAGTGTTTTGACTTACACAAGCCACGAGAACATCCAAGACAATCTGGTCTCCTTCCTTAGCAGCTATCATTAATGGAGTGTATCCTGATTGATAGTCACTACAAGAATTTAAAAGAATGAAAAAAGAAGAGGGAAAGATAATTTATTATACATACTTCAAATCTATGCCATGACAGTCAATACATGCGTGTTTGTACGTTAGGCATTTAATTTATTAAAGTGGATGTTATGACTGTTTGTACATGTATATGACTGTCTGTGTTTATTTATTTTGTGTATAATCAAAGAGGTTGTTATTTAGCAACATATCAATGACCAAACACTATTCTACTGCCCACTAAAAAATTATTATTACCCAATTTCAGTGTCTGCCCCTTCCTTCAAGAGGAGCTGTACCGTTGACTGGTGGCCCTGTCTTGTTGCATGATACAATGCAGTGCAGCCTTTATTGTCCTGCTGGTCAATCATTGCTCCGTTCTGGTATTAAAAAAAAACAAGATGGAAGTCCTACTTCAAGAGGAAAAGATGACGGCTAATGGCTTACTTGGATCAAAAAATAACAAACAGACTCGTTTCCACAGCCAGATGCGACCATGAGCGGCGTCAAGCCAGACGGGGTTCCTTTATTAGGATCGGCATGACTGTCCAGCAACAGATTGACAACAGTATCATGACCGACATAAGCAGCATACATCAAAGGGGTCCAGCCTCCTAATGCATGAACAAGATATCAGTTATTTAACATGGTGAGGGGTGATGTGAGAAGTCATTAAGTAGTAGTAGACTAGTAGTGGTGGAAAAACCAAAGAAGGTAAAATTGTAAGAATAAAATTACACCCTTGGCATCATCAATGGATTGATTACAAGAATAATGCATTTTTTAGATTATAATGGTCTACCTTTGTTTTGTGTGTTCAAGTCTTCTTTCTTATTCACGGCCTCTTGAACGCTCTCATACTTACCAATGGCACAAGCAGAATAGAGATCAAGTGGGATCGGACCAATACTGGGATCATCGTATATCGTCCTAAAATGATTAAAATCAATATCATTGTTTGAGAAATCATCGTGTGAGCATAATTATCGGTTACTATTATACTACTAGCTGCGGAATCTTAATATCATTAAGTTAATTACTACCATTTCTTATTAGTTCCTGCTAAGTAAACATGTCAGAGCCACAACAACACAGTTTAATGTGATCATTGATAAAATTAACATTGATCAGCACCCCTAAATAGTGTAAGGTTTCCAAGTGATACTTTTATTTGCGGCATACAGATCACTCTCTTTTTCTATCTATCTTACCTAGCAATGTACTGGGTTTGTTCCATCCAGTTTGGTGGCTCCGCGGGGGTGCTTTCTACTGCTCCTGTAGTTTGATTGGCCATAACTCTAGTCTAAAGAAGAGAAACTAAGAGGTTATAGCCGAGGTTATAGCTCCATTGATTCTTCTATGGACTTGTTATACAATTCGGCAGCCACGGTCCACGGACGGGCGGAGTTTGATGGGCATGGCTTAGGCTTAGTAAAAATTATTCAGCTCAGCTATAATTTGGGCTGTGGTCTTTTTGACATGGCTTCTTACCCTATATTATATCAATCTGCAGCTCTTGTTGACATTATACTGTTACCTAATTATGGAGCTGACATGCCCGTTGCTATCAGCTTTGCCTTTTCTCTTTTTTGTCTTATTTTCTGCTCTAGATCTAGCTCATTCTCAGTCTTGTAGCAATAATGGATCAGTCAGACTCACAGTAAGTGTGTAAAGTCTCTCAATTATGATTTCCTCCAGTAGAGGCTAATTATAAAATTAATCTCATTTTCTCTTTCAGACTAATTCAGGCTACGGAGCAGTTGAGTTGTGTTTCAACGGTACTTGGGGCTCAATCTGCAGGGATTTCTGGGACAATAATGATGCAAGTGTGGTCTGCAGCCAGTTGGGATTCTCACCTTATGGTCAGTCCATATTAAATTCCATTGGCCCTAAATTGTGCCTCTTTTATCTTCAGGTGCAATTGCTTCTCCAGTCTATCGTTCTTCTACTCTCTCATCTCATCACAACTTCAACTTTACTTGCAACGGTACAGAAGACTCCCTACTCAACTGCAGCTATACTATACTCAGAGATTATTCATGCCCTTTAAGCAGTGATGCCAATGTATTCTGTCAATGTAAGGCAGGAGTATTGTTACATCATAATAACTCCTTGTTTGTTTCTCATTAGCTAAGAATGATGTGGCAGAATCAAACTGCACTGACGGTGAGGTTCGTCTGATTGGAGGCTCAAATGATTATGAGGGAAGAGTTGAAGTCTGCATCAATAGAGCTTGGGGTAGTATCTGTGGCTCAAGCTTTGGTACTGCTGATGCTAATGTAGTCTGCAGAAGAATTGGAGCAATTCCTAATGGTAGTATATACTAGATCTATAATAATATATATTAAAGCTAAATTTAGGGTTTGCTAGTAGAGTGGGTAGTCTAGGTTTTCCAAGTGGGACAGCAACTTATCCGTTACTAGGAAGCTTGTATTGCTTTGGAACGGAGCCCGATCTCACCAAATGCAACCAAAATTATCTTCACGCTCGAACTTATTCATTTTGTCGGTCTCGCTCAAATGATGCAGCAGTCCGGTGCGAACGTAAGTATCTTTGATATGCTATGCTTGAATGTGTCTCTTTTGCCTCATTAGCATTCTGTACTAATGGTACAGTCAGGATTAGCAATAAAGGGGCTGAGTATGGTAATGTTGAAGTTTGTATTGATAGTACGTGGAGGACGATTTGTTCCAATAGTTGGAGCTATGAAGAGGCAGCTGTGGCGTGTAGGGAACTGGGGTTCTCTAAGTATGGTGAGTCTATGTCCATGCATGCATGATAATTATTATTACAATGACTTACATATTATAATTGTAATAATTGAATTGCAAATGAACACTGGTAAAGGTGCGAGATGAATAATTATACTTTGTGAATAATTAAAATAAATATTTAGTAAAGGAGTGAGATAACTATTAACTAACTGGCTTTGAATTATGTTTTTCATTAATATCTTTAGGTGCTGTCCCTGGAATTGACTATAGTCGATGGCCTGTTGGTTTGACTGTGAACTGCACTGGAACTGAGGACAATATTTGGGACTGTGCGTATTCCTTGACTGATGAAATACCCAATAGTTGTTCACGCTTTTCCCCAGCATCAATCTATTGTTATAGTAAGTATTTATATGGGCATAATAGTGGACCTGTGTGTAGGCAGTGATGCTGTCAATTGTAAGAGGTCACTGGAACAGGAAGCCTTGAGATGCACTTTGTGGCCATTTGTTTACTATAAATATGTTAGGACATATTTGCACCCAGGATACAAATTAACTTTTAAATGCTACTTGTGAATAACTTAACAATATGTAGTATTTATGATTTAATTCTCTTTTTTGCTATTTATCTACTATCTTGATATATAGACTCAACCATACCTGATAATTGTACAACTGGTGATGTTAGACTGGTCGGTGGTAATGCTGTTAATCAAGGAATAGTTCAAGTATGCATCAATCATTACTGGGGGACAACCTGCAGACAATCCTGGCATAACAGTGAAACAATGGTTGCTTGTAATCAGCTTGGCTTTCAGAGATATGGTAAAGATATGAATGTCATAATTATTATTTTATTTATTTATTTAGGTGGAATGCAGGTTGATAGCAGGACTTTTGAACTAGTTACAAGTAGACCAAATCTCTTCACTAACATGTATTGTAATGGAAGAGAGAACTCTCTCTTTGACTGTAGTAGAAACATGTTTATTTCATCCCTTGTGTCTCGTACATGTGGTTCAAGAAATTATGATGTTGCAATAACCTGTGAAGGTGAGAGAGAGAACTAAACAAAAGAGAGAGAGAGAGAGAAAAAGAGATATGTTAAAAATAATTCATTACAATCATCCTTTTCCTTTAGTCCCGTGTACTAGCGGTGACATAAGAATTGCGGGTGGACCTACTTCTCTCATAGGACGTGTTCAAATATGTTCCAATAGGACTTGGGGGACTATTTGTTCTGACTACTGGGATACAACAGATGCCAGGGTAGTCTGTAAACAACTAGGATATTCAAATTATGGTGAGATACAAGTGTCATAATAAGTCTAATTTCATTTTCATATTGTGGCATTTTATTACTATCACTCATCCTGTCTTATATGGTCTAATATGGTCGTTCAAAGAAATTACTCTTCTATGTTTATGTACCTAAGTGTATAGTCACACTTAGATCAGACTGAACTTTTGGTGATTTAATCAATTAGGTGCTATTGCTATCAGAAATGCATTTAGTGACTCGCTATGGCCTACACACATTACGGATTTGAATTGCATTGGAGATGAGGACAGCATATGGAACTGCTCTTTCAACAGACAGCCACCAAGAAACTGCTTCTGGGATGCATCAGTCTCTTGCCAATGTAAGAGTATTATTTATGCATACTTTTATCATATAGCATCACTCATAGACACTATTATACATGCCAATTTTCACCCTTGTATGTAGTTGCACATGCAAATACCATGTACTCATTGTAAGCTGATTTCTTCTTACAGGGAGCAATAATACAAATGTGACCAGTTGCAAAACTGGTGATATACGACTTGTTGGTGGTCAGACAATCTACGAGGGAAGAGTTGAAATCTGCATAGATAGAGTATGGGGTACCATATGTGGGTCTAACTGGGGAATCCCTGACAGCAACATAGTCTGCAAACAATTAGGACATATTGGATTAGGTTGGTCATGCATGCATGCATTTGTTGAAAACTATCAATTCTACTCCTTTATTATAAGAAAATATGAAACTGTTAGAAAACAGAAAACACATTTTAACTGACATCCATTTATAGGATCAATAGCATACACTACTTCTAATAAATTTGGTCGTGGCATTGGACCCATTCACTTAACAAATGTCCGTTGTAGTGGAAGGGAATCGAACTTGCTTAGCTGCTCACACACTCCTTACATTAGTCCATCATCTTGTACTCATTTCAATGATGTTGGTGTCAAATGTGAAGGTACGTCCTCCTTCGTTGTTAAATATTGTTCAACAGTCACTCCATTGTAGCATCTTGTGAGAATGGTACCATTCGTCTATACAGTAACAGCGATAGCTACTTTAGGAGATATGGCAGAGTACAGATATGCATTAATAATGTCTGGGGAACTATATGTGATCAGTCATGGGATGATAATGATGCTAGCGTAGTCTGTAGAATGTTAGGATATTCTCCTTATGGTAAGAACATGTGTGTGTCCTCATTAATTATCATTATATATAATTCATAATAGGAGCAACTGCATTGAATAGAACTTTCACCGAGGGAGTTTGGCCTTTCCATATTCGTGAGTTAAACTGCACAGGAAGTGAAGACTCTATTTGGGATTGCCCACATGATAACAGGCCAAGATCTAACTGTGGGACAACCAATGATGCAGCTATAGTTTGTGAATGTAAGCCCATAGACTTAAACCCCTAGCATTGTATTAATGGGACTATTCCTTTAGTGTCTACTGCTCAGCCATCAGACTGTTCTACTGGTGATTTAAGACTGAGAGGTGGCAGTACACAATATGAAGGAAGGATTGAGATGTGTTATAATGGTCTCTGGGGCTCAGTTTGCTACTCTGGTTTTGGTTACAATGAACTACTTGTGGTTTGCAATCAGCTTGGCTATCAAAGTAATGAAAAATTAAAAGTATTATTATTATTATTATTACTTGTTTTTTTATTTTCAGGATTTGCTGTTAGGGCATCATCCGCTCAGTTTGGTTCCAGTCGTTTGCCAGTGTTCACTCTATCTGGTAGATGTACACGTTCTCATACTGGCAATCTTACTAGCTGTGCACAAAAAACCCTGCCTGGTCCTTTTTGCTATAGGTCCAACGAAGCTAGAGTGATTTGTAAAGGTGAGGTAGTACTTGCTATTTAAAATGATATTCACTATTATTAATAATTAAAGCTCGTTGCACTGATGGTGATATGGAGTATGATACCAGCAGTTCTTATGGTCACGTCCGTGTCTGTATTAATGGAACTTGGAGTCTTATTTGTGCTTCTGGTCTAACTCGTCGTGATGCTAACTTGAGCAGCGTACTCTGCTCTAGCCTTGGATTCTCTCAATATGGTAATATTAATGACACTGATTAACAAGGATATTATTTTTTTGCTATTTTAGGAGCTACATACAGTACCAGTTACATTAATAATGGGTTTTACTTTTATTTTGTTTATGATGTCATTTGCAATGGAAGCGAAAAGAATGTCTTGGATTGTCAGAGAGTCCTTTCAAATGTTAGAAGCTGCTTTCAACCGGTCACAGTATACTGTCAGAAAGGTAAGCTAACATAATATTTAATGTAAACTAAATATCTCTAAAACTTGTAGAGGGGATAGAGGCACCAGTCAACTGCTCTGATGGTGATATAAGATTGTATGGAGGAGCTGCACCAAATGAAGGAACTCTTCATGTGTGCTCCAGCAATTCATGGAATAGTGTTTGTTACAGCAGATATTATACAGCCAGCACTAACGTTGTATGTAAAGAGCTTGGATATACTCAATACTGTGAGTGGAAAATTAATAGAATCTTCCAAAATTGAGAAACATTTTTTATTATTTTAGATAATACGCGTACAATTCATAGATTGACAAACTTCCAGTTTCCAATTACAGTACAGCATCGAGAATGTCGTGGGTCTGAGGAAAGGTTTTCTGACTGTCCTGTTAGATCTTTAATCAGTCATTCAACTCCTTGTGTTGTTGATGCTGTCAACATTACCTGCTCAGGTATGGCAATAGACAATAAAGATTTCACTACATGTTTCATGTCCTTATACACTCTTGCTGGAAAGTTTGAGTTGCACAACAGCTGTTTTAAATATGAAATTCATTATGATTCATTCCTTCAGATTTTACAAATAACATGCTCTGTGTTTGTAACAGTCATTTAAAGTAAATTGATGTACAATGATCTCTTCTCTTTTCAATTATAGCACCTTGTGTTAATGGCTCTGTACGCTTGGCTTATCCTGATAATTATTACTATGGCCAAGTACTAGTCTGCATTGGAGGAGTATGGGGCTCCATATGCAGGAATGAGTATTGGAATCATGCTGATGCCAGTGTATTATGTAAACAATTAGGATTCTCTCCTTATGGTAGCCTGCTTTGCCTTTTTAATTTAATTATATTATTTTGCTCATCATAAAGGTGCTATAGCATTGCCTTCCTCTCAAAATGGAGATGCTAATTATATCTCTATATTATCTGGACTCAACTGCACTGGGGATGAAGCCAGCTTCACTGATTGCATAGTGGACAGCAATGCTCCAGTTTGCTCTAGATTTAACTATGCTACAGTTATATGCCCTGGTATTTACAATAATTATATTGAGTACTCTTATAAACATTTCTTTTTCTCATTAGTTCCAGCTGGTGAATATTCAAACTGCACTGATGGAGAAGTGATGCTAGTAGGAGGAGACACAGAGTACGAAGGAACGGTACAGATCTGTCTTAATCGTGCATGGGGCACGGTCTATCCAAATAGCTGGAATATAAACTCTGCTCAAACTGTCTGCAACGTTTTGGGCTACACGGCAATAGGTACATTTTTAGTTAGTAAATATATTTATAATTATTTTATTATTCATCCTAGGTGCTTTGCCAACTCGTAATGCATTTCATGGTCGTGGTACCGGCCCTGTCTTGTTTAGCTCTATAGCTTGCAGTGGACCACAGCAGTCTGTATTTGACTGTTCTGTATCACTAAATACCATTGGAAGAGAACATTATAATGATGCTGGAATTCAATGTCAACGTAAGCTCATTTTTATGCTACCATTTTAAATCATTGCATGTGTGTGTGTACATTGCAGCATTCTGTAATAGTGGCGATGTAAGGATAATCCCTGATAATTCACGAATGCCAAACGAAGGTGTTGTTGAAGTGTGCGTTAATAGGACGTGGGGTACTATTTGTGATCGCTCATGGAACACTACTGCTGCAAATGTAATCTGCAGGCAATTAGGATACTCTCCTACAGGTATATACACAAACCTAACTATTGTATACTATTTGATATACATGCAGGTGCTATCATCATTAGTAGTAGATACTATAATGATTATAAACCAGTTCACATTGGTGACATCAACTGCACTGGCTCCGAAGGGAGTTTCACCAATTGCTTACTGAATTACACTACTCAAGCTGGTTGTACTGGCTTTTTCAATGATGCTAGAATCAGATGTGCAGGTATACATACACAATCCTTGCATTATAATATCTTCATGCACACACATAGTTCTACCAGAAACTAATTGTACTGCTGGTAGTGTCAGACTTGTCGGTGGTAACACACCAGAGGAGGGAAGAGTCCAAATTTGTTTCAACAATCACTGGGGAGAGATATGTCCTTTATCATGGACTACACCAGACGCTCTAGTGGTCTGTAGGCAACTTGGCTTGCCAACAGTTGGTGCTTATTTTACAACTGAATTTGGGAAAGGAGATATACTGACAGTTAATTTCACCACGGCATATGGCTGCCGGGGAAATGAGCCCTCGCTGTCAAACTGCTCATTTTCTGTATCTCCAGCTTGTTCCTTATTCACTTATCATGCAGGAGTCCATTGTGAAGGTAGAATGATAGTTTCATTATAATAGTTATATTTATAATCCATTGTAGCTCATTGCAGCAATGGAGATATAAGGTTGAGAGCTGATCATAGATACGATAACTTTGGAAGAGTTGAAGTGTGTTTGAATGGTACATGGGGGACTGTGTGCACTAATGGATTTGATAGCAATAGTGCTAGTGTAGTCTGCAATCAGCTTGGATATTCTCCTTATGGTATATCCACACACACTTACAGCTAATGCATTGAATCACTATATTGCTACTAATAGGTGCAATAGCTATGACTAGATCAGAGAGTATACTGCCTCACAATATTTATAATGTTTCTTGTACTGGAGATGAGGAGTCATTATTAAACTGTACTTATAGCACAAAACCAGTTGCTGGATTAACATGTGGAACTTCCGATGATGCAGCTGTTATATGTCAAGGTATTATAAAATTATAAAATCACATTATTATCATAAGATTAATAGATTTAAGTGTTGAATATTCAAATTGTACTGATAATGAGATCCAGTTAGTTAATGGACCCTCACCTAACGAAGGAACTGTGCAAATCTGTCATAATGGCGCCTGGGGAGTTCTTTGCTATTACCGGTATTCAAATGCGATAAATCAGGCTGTGTGTAATCAGCTAGGATTTCAGACAGAAGGTAACTTTTTCCTTCTCTTTTTGTTTCATAATCTTTTTTATTATCTCATTTAAGGTGCTGTGGCTACTTTTGGAAGATACAGTAATGTGCCTATTCTATACTCTTCTGTTGCCTGTCAGAGTACTGATAAGTATTTAAGTGACTGTACTTTTACTGGACAGATTGGCTCCTCAAGATGTGGTTCTAAATCCATCATTGGAGTCCGTTGTCATCGTAAGAATAATAAATATTTTGTTTTTAACTTGTTGCTATAAATATTTAGATTGTACAAATGGAGAAATGCGCATTGTACAGAGATCCAATCAACTTTTTCCACAGTACACAGTTGGTCGTATTGAGTTGTGTGTGAATGGCTCTTGGGGTACAATTTGTAGCGATTTCTTTGATAATTCTGATGCAAGCGTGTTCTGCAGGCAAATGGGATACTCTCCATTAGGTGAGGATTGATATAATCTATGCTTATAAATACTTATTAATGATGTTTGCAGGTGCTGTTCCATTGGTTGGTTATTTTCCTGAGGGAATCTTCCCATTCCATATAGTTGATCTCAATTGTACTGGAGACGAGGAGTCTATAGGGGACTGTCCCAGGAATGGTTTATTATCAGAGTACACTTGCAATGGGAACAATGATGCTGCTGTATCATGCATTAAGAGTCAGTATTAAGATAAATAATATATATAATAATTATTATTATTTCTTTCTCTTATGATCCCCAGATGAAGAGGCACAGTATGCTAATTGCACTGATGGTCAGATTAGGTTACTTGGTGGTTCAAACCCATTGGAAGGAAGAGCTGAAATATGTCACAATAGCATGTGGTTTGGGCTATGTCCTACCTTCCAAAGCACTTACAGCTATAATGCTATCTGTAAACAACTTGGACACTTGGGACAAAGTAAAATTTCTTACATATCTGATTATTGTTATGAAATTATATTTTAATAAAGATGCAAGGTCTTCTTTGGATCCATTCTTCAAACTCCCAGTTGTTCCTTATTTTCACAAACAATTCTCATGCTCTCAAACTGAGGACAACTTGAACAACTGCCGCATAGTGTCAACACTTTGTCCTCCACAAAATAATGTGTACCTCCATCTTAAATGTGAAGGTATAATAATTATTACAGATCTAGTTGATGGACTTTTTATTATTTTTTTCTTTTACTTTAGAGAGATGCAAAAATGAAGATATTAGGCTTCAAGGTGTAACAGGACAGGATAATGCTGGCAGGGTTGAGGTGTGTGTTGATGGAGAGTGGAGATCAATCTGTCAGGATGACTTTGAATACACTGATGCCAGTGTAGTCTGTAAACAGTTGGGATTCTCACCTTATGGTAATACTAGCAACAAATAGGATTATTTTTACACATTGTATGTATTATTGTGTGCATAGGTGCCCAAACTGTCTCTGGTAACAGGTATTCTTCCAGTAACTCCTTTTATATTTATGAATTGAACTGTACCGGATATGAGAGCAGTATATGGGACTGTCCCTTTTATAATCAGTCGGATGGAAAGTGTCCCTTTCACGCTAACGTCATTTGTCAATGTTAGTATAATAACGAAATGTGATACTTGTGAATATTTTGTACGATTCTTAATAGATAATAATGCTACGATTGATAGTTCGTGTGGTAATGGTGATGTGAGGCTGATGGGTGGGGCTAATGAGTTGGAGGGCCGTGTTGAGGTTTGCTATAATAAGATGTGGGGCTCAATATGCGGGACTTTCTGGAGATCTAACAGTGCCAATGTGGTCTGCAACCAATTAGGATATCAAGGTGTGGATTTTTAGAAAAAAGGATTAAATTAAATATTTTTATAGGATCATCAACTTCAGCTTTTCGAGGCTACTTTGGTGAAGGATTAGGTCCTTCAATAACATCTCAAGTCTCCTGTGGAGGAGATGAGAGCTCTCTCCTTTTCTGTACCAACGACACATTCAGTGCACTGAGGTGTGGTCACCTCTCAATAGCCAATGTTAGATGTCAAGGTAATTGTATTAATTCTTATTAGTAACGCCTTCAATTACTGCAGCCTTGGAAATGGTGCTTTAATTTGATTCTTATTATTACATTGTTTGTTATTGTTTTAGAATCATGTGCTGATGGTGAGGTAAGACTCAATGGGTCCAGTGCTAGTTCCATTGGACGAGTGGAGCTCTGCATTGCTCAAGTATGGACTACAGTGTGTCACATGAACTGGGACCTAATGGATGCAAGAGTTGTCTGTAGGCAACTGGGATATTCTCCATATGGTATGTGATGATAATTAATGTAAATTTCATCCTAGCAATAATGTTTTACCAAGTAATATTTATTTTAAAAAATTTTTACTAAGCAAAATGTTATTACTTTTCTAAATCATAATGCATACCTATTCTATAATCAAATTGGATTTATAAAATTGCTCCAAAATCAGTCCAAAATCCCTGTACTATAGTAAAGTCATTGACCAGATTTTGCCAAAAATTATTTGGTGAGAATTCTTCATTTTAATATTTTTTTCTGATGCATATACATGTACTTATATTGCATTTCAAGTTTGAGCAAATTCCAATCAAATTTGAATTTTTTACAAATTTTTAAAGTTCCTCTAAAATTTGGTAAAAGTCCCTGTACTACAGTACAGGGTCTTTGACCAAATTTCACTAAAAATCACTTGATGAGAATTCTTTATTTTTATATTTTTTTCTGATGCATATACATGCACTTATGTTGTATTTCAAGTTTGAGCAAATTCCAATCAAATTTGAATTTTTTTACAAATTTTTCAAGTTCCTTCAAAATCAGGCAAAACTCCCTGTACTATGGTACATATCCCTGTACTATATAGTACACACAGATCTTTCTGTCCAATATGACTAGGAGAGAATTTTCTATTTTCTGATACTTATACATGTTCTTATGTTTGGTATCAGTTTTGAGCTGATTGCAATATATTAGCAACCATTGAGTTACAAAGTTATTTCTATTATGATTAAAATTAATAATAATAATAATTTATAATTACAATGGTATTATATATAGGTGCTGTGCCTACATATAACTGTTTCACTGAGGGACAACTCACCTTTGGAATAACTGATATACACTGTAACGGAACTGAAGATAACCTTTTAAACTGTTCACACAGTCAGGAACCATTACTGCACTCATGTAGGTCTCATGAAGATGCTGGAGTTAACTGTCAAGGTATTAACGAACATAATAAAAAATAGCCTTTAATTTTATTCATTTTTTTACATTCTATAGAAATGAGCTCGGTAGTGAGAGCTAATTGTACTAATGGAGAGGTAAGACTGGTTAATGGGAGTGGTCCTCATGAAGGAAGAGTTGAAATATGCATCAATGAAGCATGGGGCAGCATATGCTCTAATGAATGGGATGATAAAGAGGCTGACATTGTATGCAGGCAATTAGGATACCTACCACTAGGTCAGTATATTAATAGTATATTATCATTAGACTGATGCTTTGTATGTACTTGTAGGTGCTAGAGTGAAGTCTTTTGGTCCAGGGTCCAGTCCTATATTCCTCTCTAATCTTTACTGCATTGGGACAGAGGACAACCTGTTGGAGTGTCACCAGCAGCCATGCAGGACTCATAACTGCTCCAATGCTAATGACGCCGGAGTTGTATGTGAACGTAAGGATTCATTGAATTTTTCCATTCAATTTTTCTATTCTCTTTTTATTTATTTATTCCTTCATTAATAGGTCCCTGCACTAATGGCAATATCAGACTAGGTGATGATATTTCAGGATTAAGAGGCAGAGTGGAGGTCTGTGTTAACATGAGCTGGTACACTGTGTGTCATCATGGCTGGACCTCAAAGGAAGCTAGTGTGGTCTGTCATCAACTAGGACACTCCAAACACGGTATGTATATCCAATACACCTACATATGTTTACTAATAGCTAGAAAAATATTAGTTTAAATGAAATTCTAATTGCATTAATTATAATTATTTGTTAGGTGTATTGGCAGCAACTACTGTCTTTGATTATGAATGGCCTGTTGGTTTGTTCAATCTCCATTGCAATGGATCAGAGACCTCAATATGGGACTGTAATTTTACCACTACTAATGACGTAGGACAAACTTGTGGCCGTTTTGATGACGCATCTGTGTTTTGTATTCGTAAGTCTATCATTACTCTTTATTGTTTGACTTATATTTCAATAGCTGATTCTGCGTATGATAATTGTACATATGGTGATGTAAGGTTGGTTGGAGGAGACACTGACTATGAAGGAAATGTTCAGATCTGCTCCAATAACACCTGGACCTCAGTCTGCAGTGGTAGGTCTTGGACCAGTTTCTATGCAAGTATTGTCTGTAGACAACTCAATTATGACATAGGAGGTAAAGGAGAGAGTATAATTAGGAATTCACAATGAGATTTGCTTTCATTTTGTTTACAGATTGCTATGATGATTATGATTATTATGATGATTATGAAGATGATAGGAACAAAAGAGAAATTGACGACTATGACAATGAAGAAAGCAGCAGCTGCAGTAAGATTATCATTAACATATGAAATGAATTCAACACTTATAACTTTCAACATCAGGGTCCAAGGCATTATTCAACAATTACTTCAATACCAATTACACTCCAGCATTCATCTACTCTGACTTTAGATGTAGAGGGAGGGAAGACTCTCTTCTTGATTGCTTTAAGTTCACAGACTTTGAAAGACTATTGGAGTGTTCTGCTACTACAGCTATAGCTGGCGTCCGCTGCAGTGGAAGTAAGAGAATCATTGATGATAATTTTGATTATCAGCTATTAATTAATTTTTTGTTGTGTATAGTTCGTGTGTGTCCACAACTCCCCCGGCCTGGTAATGGATCCGTTAGTATTCGTGGGTCCATTGCTTATTACAGCTGCTTCAGAGGTTTCAGGCTAAACGCAACTAACAACACTCGCTATTGTCAAGATAATGCTACGTGGAACGGTGAAAGCATCGGTTGTGAATGTAAGTGAAAACACAATGAATTTGTCATATTTTAATTGCTTTTTAACTATGCAGTGGTTGATTGTGGTCTGTTGCCTAATCCCGAAGGAGGAAAAGTGGGTATTGAAAGATCAACATTAGGAGGGATTGCCTTTTATGCTTGTCAAGCAAACTTCTCTCTCGGTGGTATTCCAGTAAGAAGGTGCCTTGAAAACAGCACATGGTCTGGTATTGCCCCAGCATGCTTCAGTAAGCACAGTGTAAAGATAGGGAGAAGGAGAAAAGAACCATAATTATTAAAAAAGTTTTTTATAATCAAACTATAATCAAATTTGTTATCTTTTACAGATCAAACTGTTCCTAACGATATCCCTGGGAGAAGTGTTATTTTTGAATACATTTACCAAATTAATATTGAAATCCCCTCACTTGAACCTCCTCCTTCTCGACCCCCACCTGGCCAATTTGCAGGACGTAAGAAAAGAGCTACAAGTTTTCGTTTAAGTACTCATGAGAGATTTGTAAGTCAATGATTGTGAATGATTTTAAATTTACTACCTTCTCTTTTCTTCTCTTCTCTCCCTCTTTCTCTAGATTCTCAGTCTCCTTCGTGAGACTAATGGTACTCACATTGTTAACTGTACTGTCATGCAGTCTGATGATGGCTCTGATAACGGGCCTCTACGCCCTACACGTGAAGAAAGCAGCTCATCAAACCAGCCAGTAATGTGCAACATCACTAGCTACTCAACAACAGACCTCAGTAGAAGTATTACCAGTACTGTGTTCAGTGGCCTGTTGAGTGATGCAGAACAGTTAAATATTGTCCAATCCTCTATTGTTTATGGAAGTATGACATATTTTTATTATAATTTTATCAGTTATTTATTTGTTATATTTTTTAGTTGGTGGTTTCTGTGAGCCTAATATCACCAATAGCTCCTTATATGGCAGTAATGGATGGCCTAAAACTGGTGGAGGCTCAAGCACAACAACTTCATGTCAATATGGACATTATTTATATTGGGATCGTGATGATATTGATGCTCCTGTCCATAGGTACTGTCAGCCTGGTGGGGAGTGGTCTAGTCCTAATTACACATTATGCAGAGATAGTGAGTCAATATGAATGCATATTGCATTCATTTTAAATCATTATTTCTTATGTACAGCGAGACCATATGTCAGTATACTTGGACAGCGTCATTCTGTTGATTATAATGTGACTTTTCAAGAAGGTGAAAGTGTGGACATAATTTGTCAGACACAAAATGCTCTTCGTATTCCTGGTGATATAATTACTTGGTATGACCCGAAAGGAGATGGTGAGTCTACTAGACTATAATTATCAAACTATTATCACCATTTCTCCTTCTCTGCAGTGGTTCCTCATGAAAGTTCCTTAATCAATGGGTCCTCATTTTCAGAAGGCGTCACAATCTCTGACTTTAAGCAACTTAGAGTTGATATTTTTTCTCCCTTCAGTACACTCACTAGTTACTATAACAGGGCACTTGGACACTCCATTTCACCTAGTAGAAGCATTGAAGGAACTTATGTTTGTGAGGGTAGTAATTCACATGGCAGTCGCTCTATTTCAGTCACAATTAACATCAATGGTAACCGAGTATATGTTTAATAACTGTTATTTATTTTTATTTTTCTTGTTACAGCACCTAACGGACCATATTCTTCAGTCTTTATCAGAGGAAATCTAACAAATATCACTAACTTTGGATCCATCACTGAAGAACAGTACAAACTAGCTGTGATTGAGGATATTGTTAGTCCAATATCATTATCATCATTGTCATCATTATTATCATTTTTACAGATACTGGATAATATAACAACATCAAACAAACTCCATAGAGTCAATTGTAAATTTGTTGCACTGTAAGTCAAACTAGCTTTAATTGAGATATTGGATCATATAAATTAATTTTTAGACGCCCCGAAGATCAAAATTTGGCCAATTATAGTCGTATTGACTGCTCCATAAGAGAATACCCACCTGGGAATGCATCTCTTGAATTAGGACAATCCGTCACTAAAAATTTTGACATTGAAAACTCAACATTAGTATCAGGTTAGTACAAAATCAAATCTTTTCTCTATTTTTTGTTTTTTTAGTAACTGGATTTTGTAACTACGAAGAGTCTGTTCATTCCAAATATGGCAACTACATGTGGTCAGAGTCTTATGGTGGTACCAGCCACACTAAACCATGTCCAAACAATGAAAGCAAATCAATCATTAGACACTGTATCACTAATGGTGATGGATGGGGTGACATTGACTTTACTCCATGCAGAGAATGTATGACAAATGATGATTTTAAAAATTATCATATCATTATTGTATTTCTGTAGTACAAAATTTATCCGATCCTTTTAAAGTATACATTCGGTTTTCGTCAAACTTTACATCAGTCATACCATCGGGAAATTCATCTGCAGTACTGGATAATATAAGAATTATTGTAAGACAGTTACTGCTCATGTACGTATGAACTAATATTTCTCCACTGTAGATTGAGCTTGCTGTACCAGCCAAAGCGTCATGTGGTCAAGTAGAAGAGTAAGTGAACCTATATAAAGAATTTACCTTTAACTTTTTTATTTCATTTCATAGTGAGTCTGATTCTAGCAATAGTAGGATAGAGTGTGTTATTACTGGTACAATGGAGTCTCCTCCTACTGCTGCTACACTACAAATGCTCACTAATAATATCACCAGTGCACTAGTATCACGACAATATACTGTGCTAAGATCAACTGCAACAAGTGGTAAGTATTAAATATTAATCATCATAGTAGCACCAATATTCTTGTTTATCATTTGTAGAGGATGGTTTTTGTGATGCTCAAACTGAGATCACCAGCTCTCCTGATCGTGGTAGATATGAATGGCCAGAAGCTCAGTCTAACACAAGAAAGAGCCTACCCTGTGTTTATGGCCCTGGGAGAGCTAGAGCTACCCGCTACTGTCTATCAAGAGGAAACTGGAGTGTTTCTGATACTAGTAATTGTGCAACTGCCCTGACACTGAAATTCAGAAATCTTGAAAATGTCATTACAGAGGTAAGTACACACATTATGTTAATTACTACTTCTATTCTCTGTAGTTCAATGTTACTGTGGAGAATTTGGAGGCCATTGTGACTAACCTTAGTGTCATTCTTAACAATACAGAAGACACGGCGGATCGGAACAGAGACAACCTTCAAGTGGTACTCAAGATATTGCGAGAGACTGGAGACATTTTCACTGAGTCACTTGAAGAGTTTGACATCGAAACTATTGAGATGGTAAGACATTATTGCATGTTATGCTGATCATAAAATAATTGTCCTTTAGCATATTTATATTCTGAATGCAATTTAGATGCTTTCTATATTTAACAAATGCTTATGTGTACTTTTCTATTGCTCACAGATTGTAAACAACACTGTTAATATTCTCGATGATGTTGAAGAATGGCCCCTACCTGTCATACAGCCTTCAGTTAATATGTAAGTAAACTAAGAACATTAATATGAGCAAACCATTCCTTTGATCTTTTATGTAGTATCATTCAATCATTTGAGGCTATAGCAGAAGCTCTCGTGACTAAAGCAAACTTCAGTAATATAACAATAGCATCTGAGGATATCCTCTTACGCGGAGAAAGAGTAAGTGCTGGAATAAAACTTTAATTTATAAGGAAATTAAAAATTATGAAATTATAATGAAATTTGTAGATAATGAGAGACTTTTTTAATAATTTTGGGCGCAAGTTTACTGTCAGCACTGAAAGTAATAAATGAATAAAAATAATAAATATAATTATTACTAAATTTTTTTTTGCTAGATAATGGACTAAATGTTGAATCAGAGAAAGCAAATGAGAATGGTTTATTACCTGAAGAGTCTGCCAGTATATCAGTGCCTGCTAGCATCATCAGTCTGATACCAAATAAGGAAAACGTTAACGTCATTTTTGTAGCATACAATAACACATTCTTGTTCCCGATTCGTACTGGAAGAAGAGACTCTAATCAAACCTCAACTCGAGACCTTGCAATTGGTTCACAAGTTATTGGTTTCTCAATTCCTGGTATACCAGAAGGGACTGAATTACCTGAACCAGTCAACATTAGTCTCAGACTAGCTAATCCAAAAACTGGAACACTAGAGGTAATCCGCACACACCACGTAATGTTACTATTATCTCTTTCTTATTTCACAGAATATAACTAGCCCAACTTGTGTTTTTTGGGATTTCAAAGCAGCTGGTAAATCCTTTAAAATATTTAAATTAGATTTTATTTTTCATATTCAAAGGTGGCAGAGGGAACTGGTCTACTAGCGGCTGCCGTACAATTGTCACTGACTCAAGCTTCAGCACTGTCAGATGTGAATGCAATCATCTCACAAACTTTGCTTGTTTAGTGGTAAGTCAATCACTGCAACTCTCTATAATACCATTGGTTTATATACGCGCAATTATTATATAATTTGTATGTAGGATATATCTGCTAGGACTGAAGAGCCTACACAGCCTCCAAAAGCTTATCGTACAACATTAGAATCTTTAACAATTATTGGTGTCATTTTCTCTCTAGTGGGACTCACACTTACTGCTATTACATATCTTATATTCAAGTAATTTAGGGCTATTTTTGTTAATTTTATTTTTGTTTTTTCTCCTTATAGAAAACTGAGGGTCAGAGATGCTTCAAAGTTCCACGTTCAACTCTGCATTTCCTTGTTCCTGATGTTACTGATCTTTGTCAGTGGCATTGATAAAATCTCCAATAGAGCTGGCTGCATTACAGTTGGGATATTCATACACTACTTTGCTCTTGTTTCTTGGATGTGGATGGGAGCAGAAGCACTTCTCATGTTCCAAAAGCTAGTCATTGTGTTCTCTAACATCACATGGCGTTTTCATTTAGTTGTCTCCTTAATATGCTGGGGTAAGAATGAAGAATGATAAAATTATTTCATACTTTTATATAATTATTTTTCAGGCGTTCCCTTGTTGCCAGTTATCATTACATTGTCTATTGATCCTGATAATTATATTACATATTACCAAGACACCTCGCAAGTTGAAGGATTGTGAGTTACTTTGTTTTATGCATAATTTTCATTTTCTTCTCTTTCAGTTGCTTCATAAGTAATACAGGAGCTTTCTTTGGTGCCTTCTTTGTTCCAATTCTCCTACTCATCATATTCAATGTCGTTGTTTACATTTTAATAATCCGAGTCCTCGTCCTCCATTACCTCCGTAAAAAGAAGAGACAAAGCAAAGACACCATGTCAGCCAAAGAGATATTGAAACTGATGCTCTCTTTCATTGGCATCATGTCCCTCTTTGGAATCAGTTGGATATTTGCTGTCCTTACCTTCACTTCAAAGAGCCCTAGAGCTGCATTTGGTGCCCAAATCATGTTTACGCTCTTTAACGTATTTCAAGGTTTCTTTATCTTCATATTCTTCGTTGTCCTCAATAATGATACTCGGGAGGCCTGGAAGAACCTTCTCACACCGTGGAAGAATAATCGTGACTACAGCAAGAAAGGATCATCTTCTAAAGCTACACTTTCTACAACTTCAAGAGGCCATGACAAATCATCAAAGAGCAGTCACTTTGGAAAGAAGGGAGCTCTGGATCATAATCTCAAGCAGCGGAATCAGTCACTGCCTTCTATACATTCCCTAGACTGCAATGTTGCTGTTCCTAATATTTATTCAATGATTGATGATGAAGAGACAACTATAAATGAGCCACCATCAGTGCTATATGAGGAAGTAAAGAAAGAGAAGGGAGAGCAGGAGGAAGAGGAGGAAGGTGACAAGGCTTATCTCAATGGAAAAGCGATCAAGGATGTACGTATTGAGAGAAAGTTTACAGTTCGCAATACTCACCAGATAGAGAAAGCCGATTTAGATTTTAAAAGTAAAGATGATGATGATGACAGTGCTGATGATGATGCTGATGCCTTTTAATAAAAACTTTATTTTTTATTGCTATAATTATTGCTCAATTTTTAAATAATATTTTGCATTTTTATTATAATTTTTTGTATTTTTAATCATTATTATTAATTTTTTAAAATAAAAATCAATTGCTGCTGACGTAAATGTCGTCACAATAATTAGCCAAACCACGCCTTTTGCATTGTTGCCCCGCCCTTTGAAATGGCGTCTGCAAAGTCTACATTTCTTTTGTGTCTCCTTTTATTTCTTCTTCTAGTATCTACCGCCACTGCCACGTATTGTACTTCTCTTCCAGAGACACAAGAAGTGTGTAGTCGTTCACTATTACCAGGACAGTATCCTATACTAGTTGTACACAGCAGTAAACTAGACTCTCCTTTTATTCCAGTTTTTATTCCTTTAACTCCTCACTATGTAGATATTATTGTTCTCCTCCTAGTATTGATACGGATACTCAGTCTGTCTCTGGTTGTAGGCCCAATGGCACGGTCCTATTGCCTTGTTATGCTGCTCCTAATGTAACTTGTACTGGTGCTAATGTGTCTAGTGTCAATGATTTTGATGAAGTCGTGTTTTGTAAAGAAGAAACATGTAGATATGTGTAAGTAACAGCGCCATTACTTGACTTCATCAAGAAACACAAACATTTAGTCTAGTTACATGTGTGGTATAAGAAAAAATTATAAAAATAGAGACATCTCTTTTTAAATTTGGAATTTTTGCTAGATTTTTGAGCAACTTTAAAAATTTGTAAAAAATCTAAATTTGATCGGAATCAGTTCAAACTTTCTACACAACATAAGTACATGTATATGCATCAGAATAAATTATAAAAATGCAGAATTCTCTCCTAGTCATTTTTGATGAAATTTGGCCAGCGACCCTGTACTATAGTACAGGGACTTTAGCCCAATTTTTGAGCAACTTAAAAAATTCATTAAAAAATCCAATTTTGATCGGAATGAACTCAAACCTACACAACATAAGTACATGTATATACATCAGAATAAATTATAAAAATGCAGAATTCTCTCCTAGTCATTTTTGATGAAATTTGGCCAGCGGCCCCGTACTATAGTACAGGGAATTTTACCCAATTTTTGAGTAACTTAAAAAAATTGTAAAAATTCAATTAACAAGACCCTATGCTTTGCCCAAACTTTGTCATAAATGACTCCAAGAGAATTCTCAATTAATAATTTGAGCTGATTCCAATCAAAATTGAAAAATTATGTGTATTATTATTATTACTTGTTCTTTCCCTCTTTTCTCCTCTCTCCCTCTTCTTTCTGATCAGTAATGGTAGGAGATACAATTATTTTGTTGCCGTTGGTCTCTCGTTGTTTCTTGGCATGTTTGGTATCGACAGGTTTTATTTGGGCTACCCTGCTATAGGTATGATACATAATACATGTACATTACCATCATCATTTTATGTTTTTTGGATTATTTTTGTCTATAAATCTTGCATGTCTACATACAAGTTAATGTAATTTTAACCAATTTAATTTTATTAGAGTTCTCTCTCTCTTTCTCATTCAAGGTTTATTGAAGTTATGTACAGTCGGTTTCTTCTTTATTGGTCAGTTAGTTGATTTCTTACTGATAGCAGTTCAGGCGGTTGGCCCAGCTGACCAGTCAGAATATTACGGAGCATTTTATGGTCCTTTATTGATGCAGGCTAATACGACTGATCCTTATCTTGAAATATCAGACTCTCCTTGCGTATAAATATATTTTTATCAGTAACCTCTTTTCTTTTCTCTTTATTACATGTTGTGATCATTTTTGTGCATTATTAATAATTGTGTATGCACTACTATACAGTGATAATATTTAACCCTTTCATTTTTAACCCTTTGTAAACTTGATTTTTGAGGCTAAAATGGAGGCCAACAAGGATGAGGCTTTACAGTGCTTAAAGAAAGCAAGGGAAGCTTTTAAAGCCGGGGATATGAACAAGGCAAGGAGATTCGCGAATAAGTCAAAGAAAATGTTCGCTACAGAAGAAGCTGATGGTAACAATATAGTTTAACTAAATGCTATAAAATTGTAATTAATTTTTTGAAGAATTAATTCAAAAAATCACAGACCATTGTACAAATAGTGAAGATAAGCCTCAACCGAATGCTAGTAGACCGAATCCTCAACCAGATACTACTGAAACACCAACAAATGGTAACGATACTTGTATACTATTTCCTCTTCATTTTGTCGTAATGTCACAGATGAAGAGCCTAAATACACTGAGGATCAGAAAGAAGCTGTTAATAAGTTAGTGAATTAAAGAATAGCGTTCATCATGTACTCCTCCATATAAAGGATATTAAAGTGTAAGGATTATTACGACATACTTGGAGTCTCACGAGACTGTACTGACTCGGAACTCAAGAAACAATACAAGAAGGTATTCATACTCATCTTCATGACCCTCTTGCTAAAAAGAGAATTTTATCTGATGCTATATTTATTTTATTTTTTTAGTTAGCATTGCAGTTTCATCCAGACAAGAATAACGCACCTAAAGCAGATGAAGCTTTTAAAAGTGAGATAATGATAATTGTATATCAATTTTTATATTGCTATCACTCCTTTTGTTTTTGTTATTGTGACGTTTGTCTTAGGTTGTTTATCATTTTTGTTATTGTTTTAGAAATCAGTAAAGCATATCATGTACTAAGTGATCCTGACAAGAAGAGCAATTACGATCGGTTTGGAGAGGAAGGTCCCAACCATAGGATCAATCACGGCTTTCATTTTACCGATGACTTTGAGTTTGACCTCTTTAGACAGATGTTTGGAGGTGACCCATTTAATACTCGTAACGGTAAAGAACTGTACTTTAACTTTAAACGATTTTCATTGCTTAAAATCAAGTGATGAAGTTGAATCCATCTTTTATCGTTTTAGTCTTCTTCTATGGTGGTAACTTGTTTGACATGAGAAGGCAACATCATCATCATCATCATCGCCCTCATCGATCTCATCACTACTTTCAGACAGATGCTACAGAAGTATTAGAGAACCTTACAGGCGATTGTGTGTTTTATTTTATTATTATCATAGCAACGTGGTTCCTCGTTTTTCCTCCTGCTCTTTGCTTTCCCTCTGCTAGTCTTTGTTATGTCATTTATATTCTCTTCTTCTCCTCCTTACTCCTTACAGCAAGCAGGGTTAGTCTCAAACCTTTTATTAAGTGGCTAAAATATTATATTTTTACTAATTTAAAATGCGACCTTTTAGTTCTTACTCTGTAAGGAAAGAAACAACAAAGCACAAATTAATTTATTATGTCCAAGTGAGGGACATAATTATTGTAAAATTATTATTATTTCTTACTCTCAGAAATCTTTTAATACTGATTATCCTAAGAATCACCAGAAGAGGCAAATTGAGAAGATGGTATTGCAAGATTACATTGATCATTACAGAGACCAATGCTCACAGGACATGTTTTGGCGAAAAGGTATTCAATTTTATTATTATTATTTATTATTATTATTATTATTATTATATATTTGTTTATTTATTTATTTATTTATGTATTTTTAGGTAAAAAGGAAGTTCCTAAGTCTTGTACAAGATTTGAAGAGCTTTCTGGTAGAAAAATCAGATATAGATAGTTTTATATATGAATCATTTTCTATTTAATTTTTTGTGTCGCGATAATTATATTTAAAAACTGATAGCTACAAAACAATTTACAAAATGAAACTATCTAATAAAAAAACAGCATAAAAGAGTATCAATGCAGCAACTAACTAAATTAACTAATGACAGCAAGTTATATTTTTAGTTGTGTATCAAGCAGTAGGTTATCTATTGTTTGTACACATTTTCTGGCACCTCTTTCATTTCTTGTTGATCAGTATATTTTTTCTCACTTTCCTTTTTGTTTCTTTTACGTCGAACAATCACAAGTACCACAACAATAATAGCAATGATTGTCACAATGACAAGAGGAATCAATATCCCAACAGTCAATCCAACAACTAGACCAATATTAGCAGTATCAGTAGCATCAACTGTTGCAGTAGGAACTGGGGTTGTAGTAGGAACTGGGGTTGCAGTAGGAACTGGGGTTGTAGTAGGAACTGAGGTTGTAGTAGGAACTAGAATTATTTGCAAATGATAACAAATGTTTAAAATAAGTTTGTACTCACTATTTTCTTCACAAAAGTCTCCAGTCAATCCAGACAGACACGTACATATGTAGCTACCTGCATGATACTGACAGCCACCACCATTGCATGGATTCTGTACACATTCTGTGGTAACTATATGTATTGAAATTTATGAAATTATCTGAATATATTCATGATCATGAAATTAGTACCTATTGAATCACAAGTGCTTCCTTCATAACCTTCTCCACAAGCACACACATCAGTGCTTACACATGCACCATGGACACAAGGTGGATCACAAATAACTAAAAGGAATATTTAATATGAATCTTGATAATAAAATTACTTGGCTGAGATAGATTTACAATTGCATCAAATATTTTGCCTCCATTGAGTGTTGCTTCTCCGATCTCAGTTCTTCCAGTAGCTGCTATATCAAACTTACAGAAATCATCATTACCACAAATTTCATTTGCTTTCTCTTCTAAATTGGGATCAGTGAACACTGGTTCATAAACAGGAGTGAATGATGGATCGTAATATGTTGACCACCTCTTTGGAAAATCATAAATAAAAAGGCTGTCACTTGGATCACCGATAATCCCTAGATGTGAATAAAGTAAATATTGTTATATCATTATGCCTTACATGTGATGCCAAAGCTTTCATGAATAGTTTGTAATGTGGAGTTTAGTGGTAATGGCTCAGTGTCTCCTTTTGGTGTCATATCATCATCCATATCTCCATTGAATATGCCCATTAGTCCACGTGTCCTGTTGTAGAAGCTTTTAGGTAATCCAACTGTTATTAGAGAGATGAATCCATTCTGCTCCTGAGCTTGTAAATAGGCTCCATTAGTGAATGTAGCACCAAAAGTGTTATTGCTTGTCTCATAAACAGTAACATCATCAAATTCTTGACTCTTTATTTCACTAAAATCAATTTCCTCTCCATTTACCAAACAGACAAAAGAGGTTATACTATACTTTACTTTTATTTCAAACTGAACTCCACTGGAATCATTTGTCTTAGCTACAACAGCAGTAAAGACAGAAGCCGTTCCATTTTGTGTCTCCATCATCCTTCCTTGCAATGTGAAAGATTCATCATCAGTTTCAATGAGAATGAACTCTCCTTTTCCATTGAATGTGTATTTGTATTGATCAAGAGTTATGATATGAGGATCACCAATGGTCCAAGCTGTATATATTATTCAGTTATAATTGATTGTATTATTGTTAACATACCTGGTATTGGAGGGACATATGCAGTACCATTGTCTGATGGTCGTCTTTTATAGTATTCATTGCAATTAGTCATTGATCCTTTACAGCAATGAATATAAGGCAGAATATCTTCTTGTTGGTGACTTAATAAACTGCTCAAATAGTTTGATGAATCACTGCCAATAGGAGATGCTTTGTCGACAGAGCCACCACTTGTGGGACCAATAATTAACTGACCACTGGTATCATAACAACATTCATTACTTGATCCTTGGGTCCTAGAAATTAATAGCATAATTCATTGCATGTATTCATAATGGTGAACTAACAACTTATATATAGGAGGAAATACACTTTCATGGTATGAATGATGTTTTACCTGACTGTTGTTTGTTGATGGTAACATTTGTCAGCATTAGGATGAAGAAACCTCACTAGTTTATTGTTAGTATTTTGTATCAATCCACTGTTAATAGTTCTTGCTTGATCAATAGTTGGTGGACAAGGAACCTCCGAACGTACAACTGACAGTAATGCCTCACCAACTGTAGGATGTTCAATAGTTGACCATGTTTTGCATTCAGCAACAAATTTATCAATATTTGAAATCCATATCATATCAGTCCATTGTTTTACTGTACCCTCAGCATTATCATAAAGTATTGGATTTTGATGATTGTTTCCTATAGCTTCAATAGAAATGATAGCTGGGTAAACAATTTGTGCTGATGAATGTGATACAGTTGGTATACTAACAGTGCAAGAGCCATTATTGCTTATATTGCTGGCTAATTCATTAACTTGATGAACAGAATTGTTAGTAAAGATGTGTAGTTTGATATTAATGCAAAGATTTGCTGTATTAACAGTTCCTGTACTTTCAGAGAAGCTAGTTGGGATCCATGTTAGTGTAATGGTATCTTGTGCATGTATTAATAGATCATTAGATATGATATTTACTTTATATTCATGTTCAATAGACTCTACAGTAATAGAGATAACAATAATGTAGCAAAAATAGATCTACTTTACTTACGAGAGTAAAATGAAGAATTATATCCATAAGGTTTAAATTGATGCTTTAACTGTACAGGAGCTCTTCCAGTTACATTCAGTTGAGGAGTGATGCATAAAACTTGATAAGGACTAACAAGGAAACCTCTTACTTCAATATCATGGAACTGACATGTGATGGTTAGTTCTTCTTTAATGTATTCAGGAACTGTTAGTATGACTGGCACACCACCAAAAATATGACCATACCATGGACTCAAATGGATAATTTCTAAAAAAATATTATAATTACAAAACTTAAGTATGGTACTAACCATTAATTCCTATGACATTTAATTTCATTCCTAATAAAAGGGCATAAGCATCGAGATCATAATGCCAATCATAGGTATTGCTTCCATAAGCAGTAACACTAAGGCCAGCAGATGAATTAGTGTGTTGCAACACATGAGGATTAACATCTGAAAATTTATGAATAGTACCATATCCGACAGTATTGCCATTTTGATTTGTAATAGGATACCAAGTCCAGTTATATGGTACACCATCAAGTAGTACAGATGAAGTATCAGTTGTTGTGATGTGAACATAATGAAATGAGATATGATAGAAAAAATAATGTTTTGTGACAGGTGAATACAGAACAGTATTGATGTATTGTTTAACTGAGGGGACTATACTCATAACAAAACTGAAATATGATGCATTTACATGACTGATATAACCTTCAGCACTAAACTGCATTACAAGAATAGGTTTATCTGATTCAATGACACAATATGCTCTTGGGTCATACGTTATGTTCCATTCTTCAGAATTCCAATCACCTGGTGATGATAGAGTGATATCTGCTACTATTGAGCCATTACAGGTTTGTGTAACTGTTGTATCATGAGCTGAAGCAATTATCTTATTGTAATGATGAATTGTTCCATTGGGAAATGGAACAATGAGAAACCTTTTACCCCATGTCACTGTTGGAGGGATCTGCTCCACAAGGTAGTCACACCACCCGGTCCAACCCAGCCAGAGCCATGACCCCCACCCCGAACTCAACTGCTGTGCTTCCTGCTGCTCTGGAAGTTCATCTGAGAGAGTACCACATTGATGTCCACTAATGACTGTCAATGGTTTATCAGAGGTGATAGCAGTGCCAGTCAAGTCCCTAGTTGATGTCCCAATAGCTAGTGTTTGCATTTGATGCAGTGTAATGGTGTGAGTATTTCCAGGTCCAACTGCTACTAGTGTACTATTAGGATCTTGTGGATCAACTGGGACTTCAATAATTTGAGTAGGAGTGATAGTTATTGTAGTATCATTCTCATTACCGACTAAAAGAAACATACTTTGAAATCCAATCCAAATATTACTTGATGCACTAGCAGATACAACATAGTATTCATATCGCTGTTGTCCTAGATCAATGTATGGATATGCTAAGTATTCACCACTAAATTCATATTCTGTCATAGAGACAATAACAGATATTGGAGAATCAGAATGAACATGTATTCCTTTGTGTCTCTCAGAGTAATTAGCGTGGAGTGGTTCAAGAACACTGGGTAAATACACTGTGACTGGTTCATAAACAGATACATTCCCAGTATAATTCCATCCTATTTCTGTATCTATTGTAAAGTTAACCAACTGAGTGGAGAGTGTGCTGATATTCAAACCGTTGCGCCAAGACCAGGTAGCTCTAAAAATTCCAATGTAGAAATCATTTCCATAAGTAGTCCTGTCAGCAGCTTGACCATCAGAAACTTCATATAAGCAGAAGCAAACTATTTAGGAATAAATCAATAAAATTATCATCAATACTCTTATACCTAGTACTAACAAGGTAATGCGAGATGCTGCAGTCATGTTGCTGTTTGAAGCTGCTGCGCTGCAATAACTTTTATGGGGGTGGAGCTGATTAAAATAATTATCTAATAGGCGGGGATTGGTTTAAATAATCAAAGGCGTGGCCCATTATTAAGTTTTCACATGCATGCAGTAAATACTCAAACCAGTTGAGGTCATCATAAACATACAAGAAGAAGAGTTTGAAAGAAGCCTAGTCTAAAGAGCTCTGCTTCATGGCTACCTTAGAGAAGCTGAGAGTCTACAAGCAAGTCTGTCTCAAGATACGCTCGAGCCTCGTCTCCGGTCGCGACGACTTGGTGAGCCCCACACTAGTAACGAGGAACTTTGTCGAGGGATTCGTTGCATCACTGAACGACCCCATACTATCCAAGCATACACTGGAAAGGAAGATCAGGGAGGAGGAGGAGGAGAGGGAAAGGAGCGAGATCACTGGCTACAGATCCTCTTCTTCGTACGGGAATGGTGCAAGTGCTAACTGTGGTGGTGGTGATCGGAAAAGAGGAGGCGAAGGGAGCTCTCCCGAGTGTCCCTTTATAGAGCCAGCTGAAGGATGGAGTACCGAGTATTATGAAACAAGATGCCAAGTAAGAGATACATACCTAGTCTTTCTCTTTCTCTCTGCTGCCATGTGTGTGCAGGCCCAGTGCAGTGTACCCATAGCAACTGCTACTATTACTATTTTTGCTAGTAATTAGATCTAGTGTGCAAATCGTGTTAAGGCTGTTATGTCCAGTTATGTACGTGTATGTGTGTTTGTGTGTGTGAGCAAGGGAAAAAGAATAGGAGACCATGTAAACATTATATGTTTAAGATAATCTGTCACTTTTTGACAGTACTTGTCACTTTTCATACCCTTTTATCTTTCTTTTCTCTTTTTCTAACAATTATATACACTCTTAACCTCTTCCTTGTCTGTTTTGACTGGAGCTAGGGAATGTTTGTTACTTTATGACAGTTTTCTCTCCTCCCCTCTCTCTCTCTCCCTTTCCTCCTTCCTTCTCTCTCCTCTCAATATTTGAACAGAGCTCTTGTGGTTTATTGGGGGGAATGTTATTACCATTTGGGTATGTTCCACCCCAGCCCTTCTCACCCTCAACCTCCTGTCTGTATGTCTGTCTTTGGTTTTAAGTTTCACCCACTTGGGAAATGGATCATGTTTATTGGCTTGATAATACCAATACACTATACAATGTACACGTACATGTGTAGTTCTATTTCACATTTTATTAACATTTTCTCTCTCCTTTTAAAAGGTCTGTGATTCTGAGTCACTCTGTGCATGTCGTAAGGACATTTCATCAAATGAATTTGAATTACGTCCTTTGGAAGAGGCAGCTTACAGGGCACACTTTAATGGTGTTGAACATTGGAATTATTTCACCGATGAACCTGACATTGGTCCAATTGTCCTCTCATTAAAGCAAGAACCATGTGGAGAGAAATTCAGGTTAGATTATCGGGGTATAACGTTAATAGTACATAAATTGATTTTTTATTTACCCTGGGGAGTTGTGTGCGTGCCTCTGTATTGCCTTTCCTTTTACGTTTATGACAAATGTTTGTGAAATGGTTGATTGATACTATCTTTGTATACCTGTGAGTTTGTCCTTGTTTGTGGCTATTTGTTGTGAGTTGATGTGTTAGTCAGTAACTGTGCATGTCTACTCTGCCTTATTCAATACTGGTCTTGTGTGTGTCTGTGTAGTTTATTTTTGTGTGTTTGATGTTGTCTGATAGCAGTTGGTTTATGTGATGAAGGCACATGCACGTAATATCATGTGTTCATGTTCATGTACATGTACTGTACATGTATGGTGGCGGGATGTACATGTACATGAATCTTTTCTTGTGGTTAATAATGATATTCTAGCAGGTGTTACATTTCAGTTCCTGCTAATTTGGTTTTCTATCTCCCTCTCTCTCTCTCTCTGTTCTCTCTCCTTTTCTCTCAATAAGGTGAAGCATGTTTGAGTTTGTTACACACCTGGTATGGCCTTACCACCTGCTCTCTACTCTCTTTCTCCTTTCTCTCTGTCTCCTTTCTCTCTGTCTCTCTATTATTTTCTCTTTGTTTAAGTGGACTGGTTTACTATCTTGGCAACTGATGGAAACCACACTTACCACTCTCTTTTCCTCCTTTCCATTTCTTTGTCTCTCTGCCCTGGATTTCTCCCCTTTTACTATACTTTGTTGACTCCATCAGTTATTTCTAGCCTTTGTCAGTTTTATTCAATACTTTGATGTCCTTTATGCTTCTATGATTGTTATCATCCTCTGTTGTGATTATTGACCACTAAATGTTAATCTACTATTACTCTCTGCTTTATGAACATATGTCCAATCCTTATGTCTCCTCCTTTTAACTCTCTCTCTCTCTCTCTCTCTCTCTCTCTCTCATAATACCTACCACCTCTAATATTGAATTTGCCACCTCTAATAATAAATTCACCACCTCTAGTACTAAAATGTATTAATCAGACTGATGTTCTGTTGGTATGGTTAGATATATTGTGTCACCGACAAGTTGTCATGTACGTGTATATGTCTTGTTTGTGTGTCTGTTTTAAATTATTATTAAGTACATGAACATTATAGGAAACGCTCATCACTGCACTAGCTGCACTGATTGATTATTACTGTGTGTGTATATAATGGATGTACATGTATGTGTATGTACAGGTTATCATGTTGTGTGAGTTAGGATAAGGTTTATAATAAGTCTGGCCTTGTTTGTGTGTGCTTGTTTCTCTTATTTTGACAACTGAAGGTATATTTTGTGTTTATTTATAATTTACGAACAAACAGAAATAGTTTTAGTTGAGAATTCTTTCACACACACTCTCTCTCTTTCTCTATCTCTCTCTCTATTTCTCTCTCTTTCTCTCTTGTGTGTGTGTGTCATAATTATTTTGTTGCTCTGTGTATTCGTTTGTGGTGAGTAGCAAGGAAGCATTGAGGAATGAATGCATATGTCTGAATTAATAAGAGATTTCTTTAATTAAGTGAATTGAGTGATACGTTGCTATTAACTTAATTTGTGGTATTTTTAATGAAGAGATCTACATGTAAGTAGCACCTGCCGGGCCAGCCATATAACTCCTCATACTAGACACAGTGGACATTAACATGTATAGTCTATATGTACCGAGTCTTTTTAGTGCTATTTGATCTATTGCTGTCTGTATTTACATGCAAGCATGTTATTCGTAGTACCAGCTACATGTACATGTATGTTCCTGTGTTGTCTTCATTGCTATGAGTATTCCCTGAGGCAAGGAGTTGGTTAGTGTATGTCATAATGACAGTCTTCCTTTGTTGCTCTATGAGTAGCACACTGGCCTCATCTTATTTCATGCACTGTTGGAGTTGGGTGTACACACATTTGACGCACCTCCATGAACACAGACAGACACACACACACACACGCATACATGTATCTTATGATATATTCTTCCTATCAAATTGAATTTATGCTCACGTTGTCTGATTTGGCTCTATAAGACATAATTACAGTACTTCAATGGTCACTCACAATGCCTGGACATAATTTAATGGATTGTATGTGCCAGCACAATATAGAATTATAAATAATGATGCCAGAGTATTATTATTACTTGAGTTTGGGACTATTGGCTGTGGTTAGTCTTGTACATATAGTTTAGAGAGAGCCAGAGTCTATGCCTACTTCTCTCTTATCCCTCTTTACTACATGTATAATGAGGTGTTTACTGTATTCATAATCCAGTAGTGTGTGTGTGTGTGTGTGTGTGTGTGTGTGTGTGTGTGTGTGTGTGTAGTCTATCAGTACTCTATCATTATTATTAGTAGAGTTGATTAATAAAGAACATTGAAGACTGCATGGGATTATGTTGTGTTAAATTGGTACGTATATAATAGGTTAGTATGATGGTGAATGTGTTGTACGTTGCTGCCCATTGAAAGTGGAATCGTGTTGCCAATTTTACTTTTACAATCCAACAAAGGGACTCTCTTGTAGTTTGTTGTATCTACACTCCTTTTGTCTATTGATGTATTAATAATTGGAGCCTTTGTATGAAGATATTAATAAATTGTGTGCTTTGTTCTGTAGCAATTCGATTGTTGACACTGTGTCGATTTATACCGATCTATTTCAATTAGAATCCAATTTCAAATGTAAACACCAAACACATGCAGCCCATTATGAATGCTGTGTGTGTATTCAAGTGCAATATCAATATGTAGCATTTATGGATACTGGGAGAGCATGTCATTCAATGAATGTCCATTAGTTGTCCATTGAGATTAATCAAAACAAGCTAGTGTATGATAGAATACACAAGAGAAGGGGAGGAGAGAAAGGAGTAGAAGATGATGTACATGTACGAGTTTTTTTCTAAACTGAAGCTACGGTACATGTTCATGTAGCTTTCACACGAACCATGATGATGAACATGTACTAATATCCTGTACTCTTATAAATCAGTTAGTATGTACCCCTGAAGTAGTTGCTCTCTGATAAGAGCTAGCACACACACACACACACACACAGCACAGAGTATGTAAAATAATGATGATGTCAGTAAATAACACTTTAACACTTCATCCTACACTTGCTGTGTATAAGTCTGTATGTCCATGTACGTGTACAATGTAATATGTTATTGTCGAGTAAGTGAATTTCTATGTCTTCTGTTTGATGTCTGTGTGTACATACACAATACTGCCAATGGTATTGTTGTTTTGTACTCGCCTTCTCCCTCGCTCACTCTCTTTTTGTCGATCACTGCCTTATATGTATTCTTCAGTTTGAGCCTCTATTGCTCCTAGCATTGACACTGTACAGTTTAATCGTTGTCTCTCTTTTCAAAAACAGTCTCTTTTACTTATACTTTCATGATGCAATAGATCATTCATCTGTGTATATGCACATACGCTTTGTATGGTATATGTTTTTAACTTCGCATATCGCTACATGTACATGTACGTACATGCGTTTTTGTATTACATTGGGGCGTGGTCTAATGTTGATTATGTTATTTTACTCATCAGTTGGTAGATGTCAATGTTTTGATGTATTAGTGTCGTCCTGTTACATGTTTGTGTTCTGGTTGATGTATTCTCAGATTGTTTGTAAGATAAATCAATCATAACTCTCCTCTCTCTCTCTCTGAATGTACATGTACATACTATGCGTGTAGAAAAATGTAATGTACATGTACATGTACATGTACATGTACATGTACATGTACATGTACATGTACATGTACATGTACAGCTGTATTTTACATGCCTCTATTATTCCGACGCAGCTGGTTTTGATTGGAATACAAATTTATTGTACAACTATTGTTTAGAATATTATCTATGACATAAATAGATCTACCTGGTTTCAGTGACATATTGAGTAATATTTGTGTAGAGTATAATGTAATCCAGTTCCTAGTATATTGTGATAGTAGTGGTTCTTCCCTTCTTATCTCATACATCAAGGTATGCATGTTCATGACCAGTCCCTCCTCCCAGCTTGTAATTATGTGTATGTTATGAGTAATCATGACGTCACTATTATTAATTAGGTTCATGTGCTTATGAGTCAGGAAACTCATCATTGACACACTGTGTACTGTATGTCTTTAATACACTAAATTGTACATGTACATTAATCTCTATTCACTCTTTCTTCTTATGATGATGTACTCCTTTCCTGTGTGAAGCTTTACATGATTGGTACATTGATATCAGATCATCAGTTGATCAGTGATGGAACATCCTATTACTGATACTCTGCCTGTGATTGTAAAGGCAGTTACAATACAGCTAATGACAGTTAGTGTAGGCTACTGCGTCATCACTTAAAACAACATATCCTGATTGATGTTTCCCACTGTATGTGTACATTACTATCAGTCTGAATTGGATACACATGAGTGATTGGTTATAGCCAGAACAATTGATTTTTGGAGGTTAATGATATACTCAGCCAGCTGCTATTGATATTGAATTAATAGTATTAGTAATTTATTATTATTATTATTATTATTATTATTATTATTATTACTGTTATTACTATCTCATGTAATATCCTATATCTTTCTTATGCGTCTATTTCTCTCTCACTGTGTGTGGGTGTTGGTTTACCTTTGATTGGTCTTGTGATAGTCTTGTTTTGTTATTAGAGTCTAGTAGAGGTGGTTTCAGTTTCACGTGCTATTAATAGAACCATCTGTTTGTGTCTTGTGGATATTTATAGTAACAATGTTATGAGATATGGGAGACACTGTTATTGAATAGCAGGAAGATCTATAAATCACTAATGTTGATATAAGCACAAGCTACACTTAGAATGTACCTGTCATGTATTGCCTACAGTACAGGAAGAGTCAATCAAACATTTATGTGCACATATACATGTAGTGTACTTTCAAGTAGTTTTGATTCCATTTTGTTGTCTCATGACATGCTCATGTGTGTTTGTGTGCACTGGGTTGACCCTGTAGTGCCCTCTTGCTCTCAGTGTTTGAAATTCCTTTGAAGGCTATAGTGAACTTATTGATAGTCCTTATTGCTTAGTGTTGCATTCTTGTATGATATCTGTCTGTCTCTCTTCCTGTGTCCTCATTCCTTTTTGATAATACTGTCTCTCGCTCTATAGCTGTTGATTTGTAACTTAAATTATTTTTAAAATTTGTTCTCGTATGCTTCTCTCTTTCTCTCTGAAGCAGTAGTTACTAGTAACTGTATTGGTTACTCCATTATCTTGTGTTGTTATTTTATACAATCACTTCCTTGTTCCTACATGTGCGTGTATTTTTCAGAAACGTGTATGACATAATACTATTGGTCGTATCTCTGAAATTTATGCTTGGAATCAGCTCGCACTAAAATGTTACGAAACTTCTTTCTTTTTCTATAGAATATTGGTACGCAGTTCCGATCATTATCTTCATGGTCTCATACCAGTTGGTGAGCTGGATGTCACCCAGTTGAGTCGCGAGGAGGTGGTGAACGCCATCTCCCGTGCCATGAATCTGCAGACGTCCTTCAAACCGGCTGGGCTACCAAACATGGTCGAGGAACTGCTTAAAATAGACGAGACTTTTGTCAAGAATAAGCACAAGGTTGGTCTCCTTCGTGTGAAGGCCGGTCAGACCAACGAGGAAGAGATATTCTCTAATCAACACGAGCCGGGACCTTTTGAAGAGTTCCTGGGTCTTATGGGAGACCGTGTGAAGCTACAGGGGTTTAAAAAGTTTCTCGGAGGCTTGGACGGTGACAGGAACTTCACCGGAGAAGAGTCTGTGTTCATGGAGTATAAGAATATGGAGGTTATGTTTCATGTTGCAACTTTGATGCCTTTTAGTGCTAATGATCCACAACAGGTTAGAACAAGGACTATTGCTCTCTTTCTTTCTATGTCCTCTAGTGATTGTTATTGCTTTTGTTGTTAAACTGTTAATATTTGGCATTTTGTTGTCTGTCTGGCTTTGTATGACTGACTCTGTCTGACGTTTCTCTCTCTTCCTTCTTAATCTTCTTTTTGTCTTTCTCTACTAATTATTTCTATTTCTTACATCACTGTCGCAATCGTAAATTGTTTTGGCTACTACGTTTATGTTTGTGCTTCTATCTGGCTGACTCACATGATATCATCTCTCCCCTCTCTCTCTCTCTCTCTCTCTCTTTCTCTCTCTCTCTCTCTCTCTCTCCCTCTCTTTCTCTCTCCAGGTTAATAAAAAGCGTCATATCGGGAATGATATTGTTTGTGTAGTTTTCCTTGAGAATTCTGAAGCTGTTTTCAATCCTTCTTGGATTCGCTCTCACTTCATTCACTCTTATGTTGTGGTACAACACATTGTGGGAACACATGGGCAGCCTCTATACAGAGTCAGTACTACTGTTAATAATAATAATAATGATGATAATAATAATAATAATAATAATGATAATAATAATGATAATTGGTTAATCATATAATAATTATGATGATGTCTTGTCTTTAGATTGGGGTTACTAACAGGAGCTCAGTCCCGACGTTCTCTCCTGATCTACAGTTCATACCAACCATGCCTCATTGCAAGCCGCTGCAGCACATTCTACTCTCTAAGATCATCAATGCAGAGAGAGCATCTTATCATGCACCAAAGTTTCTTAAACTAACGGTAAAGGAAGACAATCAATGCAATATTATAAATTAATATTATATATTATTGCTTTTACAGAATCAGGGAGTGCTAGATGATTTTATTATAAGCGTTTGTGTTTATTTATTTTTATAATTATTATTATTGCTACGTGTAATCTCTGTGTGGTTTCGTTGTGCCTGTTCCTCCACTTGTGGTTTTGATGATTATTTTTCTCTTTTAATTTAGAATCGGTCCAGGGCACAGCTACTTATAGAGCTAACCGCTTGCTTGACGGAATTTGAAATGGCAACGAAGAACTGCAGGGCAACTAGAAAGATAAGTAGAAGGGGAACGTGGCTACCCATAGGAATTAGCAGGTGGGAGTTTGAATGTAAATGTATATGATAGTTTTATCGTTTACCGTTTTTGTTTTCTCTCTCAGGCCCCCCAGTCCATTGCTGGATCCAGTCAGAGAGAAGTATACTAATGATGAGAAACTGGTTGAAGATCTTAAGAATGCTCTAGCCGGTCCAGAACTTGCTGATGTGATGTTTATAGTTGGTAAGGTTTGAGCTGAGTACATGTATGCATTTGTTCAAAGTGTTTTTAATGTAAATGTGTTTTTAAAAGTTGCTAAATTGTGCCAATCACCCTGCTGGGGTATTTTGTCAAAAATGGTTTTTAAGAGAATTTTTATTTTTATAATTTTTTTTTATACATATACATGTTCTTATGTTGTGTAGAAAGTTTGAGCAGATTCCGATCAATTTTGAATTTTTTATGAATTTTTAAAGTTACTCAAAAATTGGGCCAACGTCCCTGTACTATAGTACAGGGTCATCGGCCAAATTTTGCCAAAAATGACTAAGAGAGAATTTTTTCATTTCTATAATTTTTTCTGATACATGTACATGTTCTTATGTTGTGTAGAAAGTTTGAGCTGATTCCAATCAATTTTAAATTTTTTACGAATTTTTGAAGTTGCTCCAAAATAATGCCTATATGACCTTGTATCGTATAATCGTAGTACGTGGTATTTCATCAAAAACGACTAGAAAAGATTTCTCCATTCATTGTGCACTGTTGCTATTATAATATTATTGTGTTCTTTGTTTAGGTGAGAACAGAGTCCCTTTATTTGGCGTGAAGAGCATACTGGCTTGTAGGAGCAGGTGAGAACAATCACTTCATCATATATGTACATTCGCAGCAGCAGCAGCATTACTATTAACATCATTTTATTAACTAATATTATAATTTATTATGATTATTTTTCTAGAGTATTTAAGTCAATGTTTAAAGATGGCGTCAGTCAAACTCGAATTGGGAGTCCTTCTGGTCGTAGGAGACTAAATTCCAGTGGAGCTCGTGTCAATACAACTGTCAGCAGTCCTCAGCTTCCTAGGAAGGCAAACGGGTTTCAACCCTCGCCGCAGAAGGCAAAGCTAATGTCTGCGGTTATCGTCAAAAAGAAAAAGACTTCGAATTCCTCGGATTTACTGGATAGATCAATGAGTTCTTCACCAGAGCCAAGAACGCCCTTCCTCGAAGAACCAAAGCAGATAATACAGGAACAGGTACGTCTAGATTTCTACTTGCATTGACTTAGTCAGTTCTAGATTTTTTACACTTTTGACTTAAAAGTTTTCTATTAAATAATGCTTACATGTATTTTATCCTCTTTTTCCCTACTATCCAGTACACCATACCAGAGTTCAATGATGCTGTATTCAGTCAAGTACTAAAGTACCTCATCACCGGTAGCTGCTCCATACAACCGTCAACCATCGTCGGGATCACTTGTGCCGCCGAGCACTTTGAGATCCCAGAGCTAAAACAAGCTTGCTTTGATCAGCTGTCGAACTGTCTGATGGTAAAGTCGGTCTGTAAGATACTGACCCAACTGGAGAGCTACCTCCTCTATCGGTGTGCAAAGACAATGGTCGTGAGAACTCTTGAGTTTGTAGACTCCAATGCAGAAGATATACTGGTGAGCGAGGACTTTCTGAAACTGTCGGAGAATATGGTTCACTTGATCCTAAGACGTGACATTGAAGTGCAAGAGATACTGAAAGTGAACGCAGCACTTGACTGGACCACTAAGAATATCAAACCAAGTAATAAAGAAAACACACACGCTAGTTACATGTACATTCATTATTTATTTACAGTGTATTTACATGTAAATTACTTGTTTTATTTATTTATTTATTTATTTATTATTAGATCAGGATTTTAAGAAATTGGTTAGACCTCTTGTAAAACATGTTAGGCTTCATCTGATTGATGCAGGGGATTTGATGAAGGTAATAATAATAATAATAATAATAATAATAATAATAATAATAATAAATAATAATAGTAATAGACTCATCTAGCTTTGTTTTTCTTTCTTTATTTAACTTATTTATCTTATATAACTTATATAATTGTTTCTCTTTGTGATTCCCCCTCTCCCTCTTTTATCATTCCTTACTCACTCAATGATAATAATAATAATAATAATAATAATGATAGTAATAATAATAATAATAATAATAATAATAATAATAATAATAATAATAATAGTAATAATAATAATAATAAGAAGAAGAATTTAGCATCATAATTATTTTATTAATTCCTAATTGCAGATTGTGGTTCCCTCCGGTATATTTGAAATGGAGAAAGTGATGACTGCTTTGGCCTATCAGGTCGATCCTAGCTCAGTAGAGACTAACAGTTATTCAATGTTTAAGCCAAAGATCAAAAGCTCTGTACTCAGCTCCAGATAATGATTATTTAATCCCCATTCATCTCTCTTTCTCTCCCTCTCTCTCCTCTCTCTGATTGCTCATTCACTTATTAACTGATACTGTAATTGTTATTCACAGTTTTACTGTTTGTATCATAATAGTATGTTCAATGTACACACATTCTTAGTGTCTGTGTGTGTCGTGTGCTGTTTTCTCAGGTATTATTATTATTATTATTATTATTATTATTATTACGATTAATAATAATATGACTACTAGCTTATTATCATAATACTAATTGTTTGTAATTATCCTATGATTTCTTATCACTCGAATTCTCTTCTGAATAACATCACTTTATTATAATAAAAAATATTAATCTTACACTTTTGGAAAAATTGAACAAATGCGTGGGTGTAGCTCAAGCAAAACTATATTCATGATCTGAGCTTAGGTGGAAGCTGTGGGTGGGGCTGGTTAGCTAATTTCTCTATTTTCTAATAAACAACAAAAAAGCAGCTATCAATAATGGCGCATTCATCTCCTCTTCATAACAAGAAGAGGATAAACTTTGCCGAGACGGACCCAAAGATAAGGGCAGAGCTAAGGAAGCAGGAGATGCACCTCAAGAGAGAAATAGAGAGACTAGAGAAGCAGACAAAAGCCACAAACAGTTACATATCTGATCACCAACAAGCCCTGAAGATGAGCTGGAGAAGACTAGAAGAACAGAGACAGAAGGACGAGAGCCCAACAGTTAGCAGAAGAACTAGAAGAAATGATGGACTCATCAATGATTCCAAAAGGAAGCTCCTCTTCTCCAATGCTACATCAGTTACTATTGAGTTACCTAATCCGAATGGTGATTCTTCCCCTCGACGTAATAGCAAGGGCCTTGATGACGACCTCTCAAGCAGTGAGAGTGCACCTTTCATAGAGCCAGGAGGTTCTTCGCTGAAAATAAGGGGACAATACAACATTGCTACATCTCCTTACATCTCATCTCCGCAGAAGTTTAGAAGGCAAGCTCCAACGACAGTCTCTGCTTTAGTGAGATCCCAAGCTCCACAGCATCCACTGACAACAGCATCAGGAGTAACTGGTAGAAAGTCTCTCACCAGTGTCAGCAGTGAGGATGATTTGGACGAATGCTCTGCAAGCAGCAGCTCTGTTGTGGTACCAGCAACATCCAAAACCACAAGTAAAAGTGCACTTCTTAAGGCTAGCATGGCAATGAAGCTGGACAGCTCAAGCTATGACCCAACGGCCTTCAAGCAATTTTATAATCTTCAAGCAACAGGCTCCAGCTCATCATCAGCTGCACTCCTGGACACTCTGATAATGACTGAGGAAGAAGAGGAAATGTTTAAAGAACTCACAAAAGACGAACAGGAAGAACTGGAAAAAGCAAAGAAAGAGGTTTGCAAAGCATGCACAGAATCATATCATATACACATTGATGTCCTTATGCTATGTAGCTGATTCTGTTGAAAAATTTTCAAGTTAATATCATTTTTTTTTAAATCGGCCAAAATCTGAAAAAATTCCCTGTACTATAGCCCATGGTTTTTTCTCAAAAATGGCTCCAAAATCACCTCGAATTTTTATTACATTTTCTGATACATATTAATGTCCTTATGCTGCACAAAAAGTTTGAGATGATTCCGAGCTCAATTTTTTGAGTTATGGCCATTTTTTTTAATGAGCCAATTTCTAAAAAATTCCCTGTACTAGATCTATAGCCCATGGTTTTTTCTCAAAAATGGCTCCAAAATCACCTCCAATTTTTATTACAATTAAAAATGCATATTGATGTCCTTATGCTATACAGAAAGTTTGAGCTGATTCCGAGCTCAATTTTTCGAGTTACGGCCATTTTTTTAAATGAGCCAATTTCTGGAAAAATCCCTGTACTACATACAGCCCATGGTTTTTTCCCAAAAAATGGCTTCAAAATCACCTCCAATTTTTATTACATTTTTTGATGCATATTGATGTCCTTATGCTGCACGAAAAGTTTGAGCTGATTCCGAGCTCAATTTTTTGAGTTACGGCCATTTTTTTAAAGAGACAATTTCTGAAAAATACCGTGTACTGTATAGCCCATGGTTTTTTCCAAAAAATGGCTCCAGAACCATCCCCAATTTTTATTACACTTTCTGATACTAATACACAAATAACAACAATTTATGCTGCACAATCAAGTTATCCGTTATTAGTTAGCTGGTTCTTTTCTCTTTAGAGCTCTTCTGCCATGACACTCGGTGAAATGATGGAGCGGATCAAAAACTGTCGCTACATACGACACTATAATCCTAAAAAGACGACCGGCGAAGGAGAGGACGAGAGCAGTGGTAGCAGCAATGGTGATGTGACCAATGGTGGCACATTCACTTTAGAAAACACTAAACTTCCATTGGGCTCCCATCCAAAGCATTAATTGACCATTACATCCAACTGCAACCCGATCCCTTTACTTTCAATGTACTGCAACACTTCCTCATCAGCCTGTACATTTAAAAATAGTACAATATTATATCTTTATAATGCTGAATTGTTTTTTACTTTACATACCTCAATGCATTCTAATTTTATAAAAGCAATATTTGGAGCAATATCTGTCAGTAGTGCATGAATGTCTTCCACTGTTACCTATTACAGTATAAGAATGTGTCCATTACAGTTTGCTGTAATTACTTTATTGATGTTTTGTCTAATTTTTAATGATCTTAGTGAAAGAAGTGGCTGAGATGAAAGCAGGAAAGCAGTTAGAGGAACTTCAGGACATAGAGCAACAGATAAATCATGAAAACTATGAGAATTAAACATTGCATGACTCAATGATGCAGTTTGCAGTTCAACATACTGTTTCAGTAATGCTAGTCTCTTTATGACTTTATGCCATTCCTTAAGACTGATACCAGACACATCAGTCAAACACAGTTCTTCTAAACTATATTATGCAAAGTATAAACAAAGTTTCATAGGTTGCAAATCCTCTCACCTCTTGCAGGCTTTGACAACTTGCAGAAGGTGAGATCCACTGATAAATGTCCAATGGAGCTCAAGAGATGTAAGAGAGGGACAGTAATGGGCCACTGCAGACAGTAATCCATTGCTGCCAGAGCTTCCCATATCACACATATCCACCACCAGCCTCTAAATAGATATAAACGAGACAGTCATTTTCATTTCCTTATACTTTTAATCTGTTTCCGATATAAGAAATTCCTTTGTCAATCTCTGCAACTGAAAGGGAACTTGCTTTGCAATTCTTAAGGACCAGGATTGATGGCTGGAGCATTGTGGCTTCCTTAAGTCTACATTTTGTTAGTGAACCTCTCAAAACAATTGTCTTCCCTAATAGTGAAAAACTTGAATATTTTTTTGTGCATAGAATAAACTTACTATAGTCTAACATTGAGATTTGACGAAACCTTGTACAGACAAGACCAAATGCCGCTACATCAAGAGGTGACAGAAAGGACAAAATGAAGAGGAGGATCTCATTAGGAAGATCAATGAAACTAACAGTAAGAGGTTGTTCTTGTGCTGTGATAGAGTTTGAATCAATAGCAGGTGTATTCATTTCTGTATCATAGTCAGGGATTGATGAAACTGATAGTTTTTTTAAAGAACTTGGTTTCTGCCACATGTGGTACCTTGACGAACTCCCCCACTTTCTTTCATATGTATATCCATTACAATAAGATGATGTGGTACTTGAACTATCAATCATAATGTCCAGCTCTAATGATGATCTATGTGAATCAATAGGTATGTCATCCAGTAGTAAATTTTGAGCAAAGTCTCCTTCTTGTTTCTTTTTTGGTTGTTGCTCCGGTCTCCTTCCTTCCTCTCCTAAAAGAGATTTTCCACATTCAGTGCACCACGAGCTCTTGCTGCTGTTCAAGCTGTTGCAAGAAGGACATGGCTCCAAGTCAGGCAAAAAGGTGTCACCTTTCAAATCTTGACTACTACAAAATTCACTTGATAATTTGTTGGATTTTGAGCTAAAAAACAATTCTCTTATATTTTCGTCATCTTCTTGGAGATCCCAAATAGAGAGTAGCGTTTTCAGAGATGCCATGCTCTGCGTCTTAATCTATCAGACTACTTTTCAAAGAAATTCATTCAAATCAAAGGTGTCAATTTCAAAGCAGCCCCACCCAAACAAGGCATGCAAAAATGAATAAAATTAATAATTATAATGTATCATTAAAAAGGTTTGGCAATAATAGAAGAATCTCTATGCATTATATTATTCCTTTAATCATAATGTATAATATCGCTGTATTAAAAATTCCAGTCCTTCATGCTACCTAACTCTCTTTCTCAGAGTTATTCTCCTGTTGGACCCCAACCATCAGAGCCTGCTTCATCATAGCAATGCTCTTAGCATAAGCTGCATTGAGCTGCTCTGTTCCTGTTAGACTCAGGTAGCCATGAGAGAGGTTCTCCATGACAGTCAGTGTCACTGGCTGATCTAGGGACTTTAATCTCTGAGCCATCATAATACCATCATCAAGTAATGGGTCTAATGAACAAACCTATGAAAGAACGGGGCAAAATTTAAAGGACACATTTGCATGAATGACAATGGTAAAGACAAGCTCACAATGATGTTAATAAGAGGTAGACCCTTGAGTAATTCATCAGGTGAGTTGACTGGTGATATGAAGGGATCCTTGAGGGTTATGTCAGCATCATCAAATGTTGCCATGACCTCTTCTATCAGTGCTTCAATCTCTTCCTCTGAGAGGGTCTCCTCTTTAGAAGGTACCTTCATACCAAACCTTAAACCAGGGGACTTGTGCTTAGGAAAGAATGGAGACTAAGAAGAGAGAGAGAGAGAGACAGAGGAAAGGTGTGTGTGAGAGAGAGAGAGAGAGAGAGAGAGAGAGAGAGAGAGAGAGAGAGAGAAATTGCCAACAGAAGAGCGAGGAGAGAAGGCAGAATGAATAAAATGAAAGAGTAAGGTGCCTTTACTTACAGCAGAAGAGGTTATGCTCTGTCTATGATCCTCCTGAGTCTCTGCCTGCCCAGTACAATTTGAATCTGACTGCTGCTCTGCCTTCAAATCAACTTCAGTCAATCCTTGCTCATCTCCCTCGCTCTCTTTCTCTTCTCCTTCCTCTTTGCATGATTCCTGGGTTTCAGATTGGCCAGTCTCTATACTGCTGGTCTTCTCATCTTTAGATTCAAATACTTCATTCTCTTCCTCTTCGTGTTCCTCTAGTTTAGCAGCTGATGGTTTAAACAAAACAGAAGGAGACTCTGAACCAACTGACACTACAAATAAAATGGCCATCATAAAATAGACTAATTATTTCTTACTGGAAACTGCCTTTCCTCCATTCTTTAAGGAAGGAGGAGGTGGGCGTGATGGCTTAGAGCCAACTGAAGCGTTCCGCGTTGATTTAGGTGGAGGAGGACGAGCAGGTGGGGCTGCTTTGGAGTCCTTTGGTGCACTGGGGACTTCTGGTGTTGTTTGGCTTCTCTGAAACCCTCCCTTCATCTTGTCCCATCTGAAATATACAAGACCCTAATTTCTACTATTCATTTTGTTGTCACAAGTACAATGTACATGTAGCTAGATAAAATAGAGGAGTACCTTGTTTGTGGCTTAGGAGCAACATAAGGATCACACGTTGAAGGAATGACGTAACCTTTAGCTGCCAATATCTTGTCTCTTATCTCTTTCCTTCTCTTTTGTACCTCCTCACTTGCCAGGCAACCAGTATAGGCCTGAGAGGGATCAATTATAACAAATATGAGTTAGTACTGTACATGTACCACACGCTTCATACATACACAGGTTTAAGTACATGGACATTAAACTAACCTGTAAGCAACTGAGCAATATTCCAATAGGCAGTAGTGGATCCATCAGGGAGAGGAATCGTGATGGCGAGACTGCCGATGATATGAGAGTGGCCGGATAATAGGCAAAAACCTGATCAGGCAGGCGGAGTTTGAGCTGTTTGGCTTTCATGGCCGTAACTATTGAGAAATAGCCACCTGCTGAATCTCCAGCCAATATGATCCGCTCACCAGTCGTGCCTATAACAAGTAAATAAATAAATAAATAAGTGACTCGTTTACCAAGGAAGGCAAGGTTATTCAATGCCCATGCATATACAAATATGCACTCATCAACAGCACGAGGGTATGGAGCCTCTGGAGCAAGAGAATAATCAACTGATAAGATAGGACAGTCCAGCTCCTTAGACCACCAGCGGAGATAGAACTAAGACAAACAATAAACATAAACAAAATAATAATAACAACGTGCAGCTATACCTCGTGTGATTTTGAAGACTGTGCCACAAATCCTCCACCATGAAAGTGTATGATGAGTCCAGTTGATGGAGGAACTGTAGGAGGTCTCTTGTAACCAGTGAAAGGCTATGAAAAAGAGAGAGAGAGAGGGAGGGAGAGAAGAGGTAAGTGTTCATGTGGGGAAGCGAATCATAAGTATGTACCTGCCCATCTCTTAATTTGTGTGATATCAGAGAGACTGAGATTGGTCTGTATCCAAGATCAGAGAATGGAGGCTGAAGAGTAACACTACCACCATTGACTGACTATTAATGAGAGAGAGAGAGAGAGAGAGAGGAAGGAAGATTATGGAAGCTATAATTCACCCTTGGTACATAGTCCCAAACTTACATCAACTGTGACATTCTTTGCTGGAACTTCTAAAGTCTCGGACACGTCGACAGATTGACTCACCAGCTTGACAGCAGTCTGTAACAACAACAACAACAACAATAATCATAATAATAATAATAATAATAATAATAATACATTGTAATGGTCATGACAGTCCTTAGTCTGAAGAATTAGGGTACATTTATATAGCTATTAGAACACATGATTAATGTAATTAAACAGAGCAATAGCAGCTAGCAAGTTAGTTATAGCTGCCAGCTGTCATATTCATGCATAATGGTAACCCCAAAATGTTACTGTGTCACAATCCACTAACTGTATAGAATAACAGTAAACACTACTCTATTTCTTCCCATACCTTTACTGCAGTTTGTTCTGTCAGTGACCAGAAAGCTTTAGCAAAGTAGATGCTGCAGTCGTCGGTAAGCTCAGCTATTTTAACACCACGTTGTGTAGGATGCTGAATATACTTACCACCCTAGTAAAAACAAAGTACAAAAAAACTATAAATAACTAATTGAACATAATTGCTCAATTAGAGTGACATGACATTCATGCTGCCAATTATGCATAACATGTGACAGACATGTGCTGTGTAGTAAACCTTTAGTAGACTGTTGAGCAATTGCTTGATCGGGTCATCCTTTGTCCCTTTGTACCAGTCCTCATAAGATGCCATAGCAATGGCCAGGAACTGGAGTATGGGCTTGAGTCCTTGAGAATACTAAATTATAAAAAAAATTTTAAAAATATTTTAAGCGTCAGACTTTGTAATGTTTACCTGAAAACCAAGGCAACGGCCATAAAAGGCATCGCGGCAAACGGTCTCCGTGTAAAGGAGACTCAGTAGGCTCCTCCTCATGTCCCCACTGTTGTGGAGGTTAGGAGAATCATTGACTGTCATCAGGGCATTAGCGTGATAGCATATACGCTCCATACCCTAAGAAGGAAGAAAGAAGCAAATTAGATTAAGCTCAATTACTTTTCAATTGCTATATTGCAGAGTTTGGACTAAGTAATTAGATGTCCTAAACTAACACCATAACTCTCTTGAGAGAAATTGATTAACATATGCAACACTCAAATCAAAAGTCAATGTACTGCAAGTGCATGTAGCTATAGTGTGTCATCATGCAAAACAAGTGCCTTGTTGTTGCAAGCAATTACAATTGCTACCCAAACAGAGCTTACTACCAACCTGTAGTGCTCTGGCATGAGCCGTGATGTTGCTCAACGAGTCGGCTGCATTATAAAAGAGACCTCCTCTGTCGCGTGCATATTTCTGGAGGTAGTACAGGAGACATGAGAGGAGTTCCTTGAGAACACAGAGCAAGCTACGGAAACCGTTAGCTTTAACGTGAGTACCATCAGGTTGAACAAAATCAAATTTGGGAGCACCTAAAATAGAGACAGAGGGAGAGGAGGAAGCAAAAGGTGTTTTCATAACAATTTAACAAAGAAACACGACAATATAATGTAAAATGAATGCAAACTCTCTTGCCTTCAAAAATGCTCTGCTGTGCAGTCTCCACTGGCTCAAGCAATAGGTCAATTTCAGTGAAGACGTCGTGAAACTGCGAGTCCACTGTGTTCCTCCTCATCTGGTGCAGTTTGAGACCAACGTCCACTTGCAGCCTTATGTCGCGGAAAAGCTTCTGGAATGCCATCATCTCCTTTTCTCTGTCATACACAGTGACCGATGGCTGTATAGACTTTGGGTCTATCTGAGATTTGAAGTCTCTGTAGAGGCTTTTGAGAACATTGCTATCAGCCATTTTCGATGGGGCGTTAACTGCTTATGCTGACGTACCATAAAAGCTCTTTTTACTTGGAACGATGAATGTAATTTTGTACGTTTCCATGACTACAATCCCTCATGCAAACAGGTAGTAGTCATGTCTACCAATTTCAGCTGTAACCAGGTAAGCTCTGATACCATTGCTAGCCTCACATCTTTTATTTATAGTTTGAAAGTGCTTACAAGTCCAATAGACTCCAAAACTATGAAATACCCCGCCAGTTCAAGGAGGTAAGATAAATTTGCACTATAGTTGCATGGTGTTGATTGCTTTATGCACAAATAGACACTTAGAGTAATCTTTATTTTTTTGCACAGTATCCATCTCGTCGCAGGGGACACACTCAATTCATAGCTAATGATAAAGGTCATGTCTTATCAGAGAAGTGGCGCTCGTCAGTTAGTCCTTGGGGTCATTTTGTTGGTACGTGGCAGGCACCTCGCAAACCGATCAAACTCCAGGTCAAGACGAAATTCATGTCACAGCAAATGAGAGAGAAATCCAGACCTTCAACAGCTCCGGCATCCGTTGCACAGCAGGAAGGCAGCAAATCTCCCTCAACTAGTCAACCAGAAGATTTGGAAAAGACAAAACAGATTCCTGGTACCGAAGAGCAGTTGTCCCCTGGGGGCTCAAAAAAGGATGCACTACCCAGTGAACAGTCTTTACCATGCACTCCTGGAGAAGATGGAAGAAGAAGCAATTCAGCAATGTCAGAGAGACCAACTGCACCAACTCCAAGCTACATCTCTGGATCTAGGAAGAGCCAAAGGCTGTCATCAGCATCACCAATTGAAAAAGGATCCATTGTCTCTTCTCGCATGCAGTCAGCTCCTTCTTCCAGGCAACAGTCATCACTGGGGAAAAAGGAAGGAGGAGGAAGCCCTCAGCCAAATGAGTCCATAGTCACTTCAACTTCACCAGATGAGCACAGACCTCATTCAAGACAGGTCTCAAGGGAAAGCTCAGGAATAGGCACATCTAATGGGACAAGAATCTATACTCCTCCTACAACAGTAGGAGGAGTAGGGAAAGGTGGAAGAGAGAGCTCTCTACGCTCCAGTACTGCAGCTGAGAGCTGCACCACTGCTAGATCTAATAGGAAGGATGTAGGAATACAATGTCCGTCTAACAATATATGACCATTAGTTAGAGTTTCCAACAAGTACTCTCATGCATTACACACACCTTTCTTTTTATAAAGATTTTCCATACATTTTGTGTAAACAGCAAAAATACATGGGTAAGAGCTCGCCCACGCACTGATTTAACTATAGGCGTGGCTAATTAATTATAGCGTCCACCAACACCCACGTGCATGTACACACTACACAGCAAGATGGAGAATGATGAGGGTAAGACAAATCCTAATGGTGAGGCTAACGGTGTCCTACCTGCTACATCAGAGACCCTGACACAGCCTCTCTTTCGTCCATTATCTGCGGCTAACATAGAGGAACTGGAGACGAGTGAATTAGAGTCACTCTGCCTCTCTTGTCATGAAAACGTGAGACAAATCAAACAAAAAATGGAGACCTTCATCTTCATAACATTTTAATTTTACTTTGTAGGGAGTGACTCGTTTGCTGCTGACCAAGATACCAATGTTCCGTGACATCATTGTGATATCGTTCCATTGTCCTCACTGTGGCAACAGTAACAATGAGATACAGGAGAATTCCCCAACCCAAACCGATGGAGTTGAATACACTGTAGCCATTAATGAACCAACTGTAAGGAGACTGAGAGGGAGGGAGGAATAAATATCATGAAAACTTGTTATAGGATTTGAATCGTCTTGTTGTCAAAGCCAACCATGCCTTGCTCAAGATCCCATCACTCGAGTTTGAGATACCCCCAGGGACCCAGAAAGGTAGCATCAATACGCTGGAGGGCTTCATTCAAATGAGTATCAGTGAACTGGAACAAGACCAACCAGCAAGGAAGGTAAATTTGAGCTCCCATTAGCTAGAGGTTTATCTACTATTATACATTATTCAAAAAGGACCTTGTTAAGATAATTATTGTTCTATTATAATAAACTTTTAAATTTATTTCACCATGCAGGAGCAGTATCCAGAAATAGCTGCTAAAATTGATGACTTTATTAAACGGTTGAGCTCTATTCTTAAAGTGGAAACACCCTTTAATATTGTAAGTCAGTCAAATGTTATGCCATGTAGTTATGATAGACATACAGTGTACCTGTACATACATTAATGCTGTAGAAAGTTTGAATCAATTCATGTAATGTGTTAGGAAGAGACACTGATATTGTGCTGTACTTGGTATGATTCCCATTATGATAGGTCATTGATGATCCTAGTGGTAATAGCTTTGTTGAAAGCAAAACAGGAGTAGGCATTGAAGGAAGCACTGATGACAAACTCTCAGTCAAGAGATACAAGCGTTCCGAAGAGCAAGACAAGCAACTTGGGATCATTGATACCTCCACCAAAGTGAAAACTAATTTCCTTTCTCTCTTTCTCTTTTTTCATCTATTTCTCTTTACTTAGGGAGAATCTTCAGATAACATTCCATCAGCTCACACTTTAGAAACTGGAGGAGTTGAAAGCAGTACGAGCATTCGAGACGAAGTAATGAGCTTTGGTACAGAGTGTCCTAACTGCCAGATGCCAGCAGAGACCAATATGAAGCTAGTTGGTGTGTATCGCAGCGTTTGTACCTCTTTCAGTGTTATCATTATAGTCTGTGTCGTATTTTACAGATCCCTCCTCCCTACTAATAGATATACCTCACTTTAAAGAGGTTGTCCTCATGGCCCTTAACTGTGATTACTGCGGACACAAGAGCAACGAGATCAAGTCTGGATCAGGTATCAGTGATAAGGGGAAGAAGATTGAGCTCAGGATCACCGATCCGACTGATCTATCCCGTGACATATTAAAAGCAAGTTTTGACTGTTGATAATAATTATCTTTTGCTGCCTTAGTCTGAGACTGCTTCAATGTATATACCGGAACTTGAATTTGAGGTCAAGCCTGGGACTCTTGGAGGTCGTTTCTCAACGATTGAAGGTATTCTGACTAGCATCAAGGAACAGTTGGCTGGTGCTAATCCTTTTGTCACTGGGGATGCGTCAAGCGGCAGTAAAATGGCTGAGTTTATCAAAAAACTTGATGAGGTACATGTACGTGCATATACTCATTTATGATTGTGTAATAGGTTATTAAAGGTCAAAAATTGAATATTCACATTATATTAGATGATCCAGCTGGTAATAGCTACTTACAGGTAACTCTATTGATTTATTTTAGTGGGCAATACAATTTACTACATGTCTCACTAATCATGCTAAGTGAGCTAAACAGGATGAGCTTCATGAGCTGACAAGCACTACAATACAGTACATAGCATTTGAAGCAACTTTAAAAATTCATAAAAAATCCAAATTTTATCAGAATCACCTCAAACTTTCTACACAACATATAGACATGTATATGTGTCAGAAAAAATTATTAAAATGGAAAATTCTCTCCCAGTCATTTTTGGTGAAATTTGGCCAACGACCCTGTACTATAGTATAGGGACTTTCGCCCGATTTTTGAGCAACTTTAAAAATTCATAACAAATCTAAATTTGATTGGAATCTGTTCAAAATTGATAAACAATATAAAGACATGTATATGTATCAGGAAAAAATATAAAAATGAAGAATTTTCTTCTTGTGATTTTTTTCAAAATTTCCTGTACTACTATAGTACATGGTCTGAACTCTTTGTGATTTTGTGTGGGTGTGATTATTATTATCTTTTGTAGAACTTGTACGCTCCTGATGAAGACCCAGAGATGAAGATCCTTGAGTATGATCGTACTTTCGAGCAAAATGATGATTTGGGTCTCAACGACATCAAAACGGAGGATTACTAATAAAATTATTACTGCATTTATAAATTTTCAGTTTTTTGATTTCATAATATTTGTCAGCATAAAAAAACAATAATAATAATTTGTGCTTGTTATGTGCAAAATTTGTAATTATTTGTAAATAGTTTTTCCGTCATTTCGAGTTTCTTTCCTTTTGTCTCTGGGAGAAAAAAGGCAACGAAAGCTACCGAGAGTCCGTTAATGCCGGCAAATATCCACCAAGCTATGTCGGCGCCAATCTTGTTGGAAACTACAAAATAAAATCCAGTGATGAGACTGGCACAGCCCCAGTTGAAAGCAGCTGTTACTCCACCAAGAAGGCCTCTCACACGAAGAGGGATCAATTCTGGTAGCATTATCCATGGTGTTGCGCCATATCCTATGCAGAATCCTGCCTGGAAAACAATCACTGAGACGATTGCCACTGATTTAAGAGCTGTGTCTTGCATGACGAGGCCCAGCCCGTACGAGCTCAAAGCCATCAAAGTTGCGCTAGTCATCAGTAAGAGTTTACGACCAAAGAGATCAATAATGAGTGTATTGAGGAATGTAGCTAGTAGAGAAGTGATCCCTACAGTCATCAGAGCCAAGAAGGCAGAGTTGCTACCAAAGCCTGCCCTTTGGAGGATTGGGGCACTGTAGAAGACAAGAGCATTAATGCCAGAGAATTGCTGGAAGAACATCAGTAGCATGACAAGCATAAATGGAAGGTAGACACTCCTTTTTGGTAGCTCTTTTAATACTTCAAGACAAGACAGTTTCTCTTGCATTGTGATAGCCTCTTCAATCTCAATCAGTTCCTCTTTAGGATCCACATTGTGCCCTCGTAGGAACCGAAGGGTTTTCAATGCTCTTGTTACATTGTCTTTAGCAATGAGAAAACGAGGAGTCTCTGGGACCCATACAATAGCCAGTGAAATGACGAGAGTGAATCCAGAGGCAATGAAAGCAAGATAGTGATACTTTAAACCAGTGGCTCCGAGTAAGTAAGACATCATGATCCCAATATTAAGGAACAATTGTGGAAATGAGCTGTATAATCCACGCAGAGACGGAAGAGATATTTCACCAATGTAAACCTATACACAATAGAGAATAGAGAAATGCATTACGGGGTAGTATAATTATGATTCACTTACAGGCCCAATCAACACGGCCCATCCTAGTCCAAATCCAGAAATAAAACGACCGGCTAGTAAGATCACTTTGAAAGCTAGGACATTCTTAATGTACCACGATATACCAAGCATTGTCCAACCCACAAAATATGGTAACAGTGTTATGATAATTGTTGGCCTACGTCCGAGGACATCGGCTGATGAGCCAGCTACTATTCCACCAAATAATGCACCAATAGGAGTAATAGCCTGTAATTAAGACAATTTGATTATTATAGATATAAAACTGATTTTACTCACTCCATATACATCTTCAAAGGTCGATCCATTTTTGATGGCACGTCCATCAGTTATGTTTTGGAGGTCCTCCAGTGAGGAGGATGGATATGCAATGGTGTAGCCACCTACCACTGTTAGAAGGGCAGCTGTCATTGCTAACAGAGTAGTGCTCCATAGTCTTTCGGGACCTTTGACCAGAGACGTGAGCTTCTTTGAGAAAGACAGAGAAGAGGTATTGTAGTTTGTTGGCTCCTGCAGTGGGGAAGCTTCTAGTTGAGTAGAGGTTAGTGATTTCTCGGATTGCTGGAGTTTCTTAGCAAGATCCATTTTACACCCAAACCACTAAAAACCAGCCCACACCCCCAAAGTTAGTTCCTCTATCTATCCATCTATTGTGTCCCTTATCTATCTATAGATCTACTGATAGTAAAACAAAAATCATATAGCATTTAAATTAATAATAAAGAAGACATTTCTCTTTCTTATGCACACAATCTGTAGCTCTTAACAAATTCTTTCTCCATTGCCTCCAGTTTCTTTCCCTTTGTCTCTGGGAGGAAGAAGGCAACAAAAGCAAGCGACACGAGGTTTATTGCAGCAAAAGTCCACCATGCGACGTCCTCTCCGACATTATCGGCATAAGCAAAGTAGAAACCAGTAGTAATGGCAGCACTGGCTCTATTGGTAGAGACCAATACTCCACCAAGGTATCCTCTTACTCGTAGTGGGATCATTTCTGGAATCATGATCCAAGTGATAGCTCCATACCCAATGCAGAAACCAACTTGAAATCCAATCACAGAGAATATAGCGATTATGTGCAGGCTGGAAAACCTAAGCACAAGTCCAAGACCCAGTGAGCTGAATGTCATAAGAGTGGCACTGACCATTAGGAGGATCTTACGTCCAAAGAGATCAACTATTAAAGTGTTGATGAATGTCGCCAGTAGAGAAGTGAGCCCGACAGTTAGCAGAGCAACAAAACGAGAGTCTCTTCCAAAGCCAGCATCCTGAAGTATAGGTGCACTGTAAAATACAATTGCATTGATGCCGGAGAGCTGCTGGAAGATCATGACAAAGAGCATCAATATGAACGGTAGGTAGACATTTTTGTGCGAAAACTCTCTTAGGAACTCCCTGAAAGAGAGCTTGTGCTGCTTAGCAATGGCACCTTCAATCTCAGTAAGCTCTTGCTCTGAGTCTATCTTAGGTCCACGCAAGAACTTCAACGTCTGAAGTGCTTTTTCAGTCTTTTGCTTCACTACGAGAAATCTTGGTGTCTCTGGGATCCATATTACAAAGAGCAATGCCACTACAGTCATGCCTGAGCCAATGAATGCAGTGTGATAGAACTTGAGGCCTGGAATAGCCCCAACACAGTAGACTGCCAGTATACCCATAAACATAAGCACCTGTGGAAATGAACTGTAGAAACCTCTTAGTGCTGGCGGAGAGATCTCTCCAATATAAACCTAATAATACATAAATTAATTTATATTTCAGGGAGTCATGAATGTTTACAATGAAATTTTACTTACTGGTCCAGCAAGCAAAGCCCAGCCTAGCCCAAATCCAGATATACAGCGACCGAGCATTAGTATAATTTGAAAAGCGACTGCATTCTTAATGTACCACGATACACCAAGCATTGTCCAGCCCACAAAATACGAGACAGCAGTGAGTATGACTGTGGGCCTACGTCCAAATGTATCAGCAGAGAAACCGGCCAGAGTCCCACCAAACAATGATCCAACTGGGCCTATGGCCTGAATGAAAAGATTAACAAAAATAAAATAATTTGACAACATGATGCTCAAATGCTGTTAGACTCACTCCAAAGACATTCTCAAGGACAGAGCCACTCTTGATAGCACGTCCATTAGTCATGTTCCTAAGGTCCAGGAGAGCAGAGGAGGGATAGCCCAGTGAATATCCACCTATCATGGTGAAGGTCGCAATGATAAAAGCAATCACACTAGTGCTCCATAGCCTGTGGGGGCTTCTACACAGGGCCAAGGCTTTCTGCTTTAGATTCTTTGGTGGCTCCTGTATGTTGACTTTCAATAAAGGAATATCCTCTCGACCTGTGCCAAGTAGTTTCTCATTTTGAACCTCCATTAGTGCAAAGTCAAAAACAGCAGGCAAGGCAAGGGGGATGTAGGCGTGGCTAAGCGAGCCCCTCCCCTCTCCTCTGCAAAAACAATTACTGTACTATTGTATTTTCTACAAAAGCATAAAAACAAATTATCGGTATGAACATAACTTATAATTGTTTAAAAACTGTTTCTCCATCACTTCAAGTTTCTTTCCCTTTGTCTCGGGGAGGAAGAAAGCAACAAAAGCGAAAGAGGCGATATTTAAAAATCCAAAAGTCCACCAGGCATAATCAGCTCCAACATATTCAACGTACACAAAATAGAATCCAGTAATCAATGCAGCACAGCCCCAGCTGAACCCGACCAGTATACCACCAAGTTGACCTCTAACTCGTAAAGGTATCATTTCGGCTATCATGATCCATGGTATAGGTCCATATCCAATGCTGAATCCAAACTCAAAACATATCATTGACACGATGCCCAATATATTGAGGTTCTCGTATCTATTGAATAGACCTAAGCCATACGAGCTGAAACCCATGATTAAAGCACTGGCCATTAGGAGGATTTTTCGTCCCACTAAATCAACAGTTAATACGGTAGGCAGCGTGAAAATAACAGGGCAAAGACCGATGGACAAAAGGGCCATGTACTTTGCCATTTCTTGACTCAGCCCTGCATCCTTTAGTATTATTTCGCCATAAAATGCAATCGTGTTTATGCCTGAA